AAATTTCATAGCATTAATTACTTTTCCGCTAGACATAACTTGAAGTAAAACATAAAATCGTTTTATCAATTCCTCATCCACACCGGTAATTTCTGCAGTGCACTGATAATTTCTAAAATCGTCTAGCTGTATTACCGTCATTACTGTTACCAGAACCTTGCTTAGGTTTATCTATATTTAAACCAAGTTCTTCTCTGAACCTTCTTTGTACATATGTCTTCTTTTGTTTTTTCAAATCTTTATTTTCTGTCGTTGTAGCAGACCATTTTTCAAAGCCTACATTATAAGATATATGTAAAATTAGTTCCATGAATCTAATCCAGCAATGTAAAGTCGAAAGCCCATATTGATAAGAATTTTCGTCAACAGGTTTATTTTGTACTTTTTCTAAATTGTTCATCTCTGTAGGTCTTGCACCACAAATAGTACATACAGCACCTGATGAAGTTTCTGACAAAACTTGAGCCACTTTCCCGTCAACCATTGTCAAAAATAATGTGTGTTTGATTTCAATACTTTCACCATTTTTATTGATTAAGCTTGTTGTGAGAGCGTTTCTTTGAGCTATAATTTCATTAACTACACTTGTAGTTTTCTCTGGTGTCTCTTTTGAAAATTCTATTAAAATGGGCCTACAAAATCTTACTGATGATGGAACAGGGTTTTCCCACAAAGTTTCATTTGTATTAATATCAACAAGTTTCAGAGGTACTAATGAAGATATAAATAAATTTGTGTCAGAAATTAACTCATCCTCTTCAGTTAAGACTTGCTTGTATTCACTTTGTCCACTTGAGCCATCACAGCTCCATTTCGAATACAGCATTAAATGTTTTTTGCCAGCTTTGTATACACCATTGATTTTCAAAATTCTTGCAATAGTGTGATCCAGCAGATCTTGCAGTTTTATTTTTGCTGTAATATTATTAATTTCTATGCTTGATCTTGGTGGGTAGCACATTCCTTTAGCTTCCTGAATTGATTTATATGACGGAAATAATACGCAATTCTTCGCAATTAAGCAATTTCTCATGTTTTCATACTGTGCCATGTTAAGGTCCAACTCTATAAAAATACTGAGAGCTTCATCTTTAGAGTACGCTGTTAAATGTGCCGGTTCATTTAAAAGATTTTGACGTATTTCACTTTTTTATCTATGGGTAATACTCGTAAAATTTCGACAATGAATGCTTCTTCCGTTTCCCCTTGAGATCTCAATCCTTGAAGATATGAATTCAGTATAAAATCAAGGCCACATGTTTCAAGCAACTCTTTGTTTTTTCGTCTTTGTGTTCTATCGGAACTGTCTTCGTAGGTTTTAGAAGGGCGTCCTCGCTTCCCCGTCGATGTCGAAGGTTCAGATTCACAAGTAGGATCTTCCAGATTTACTGTGAATGTGGCATTCAACCACAGGCTATTCTGATTTAAAAAAAAATCTTTATTTCTGCCAGATTTAGTGTAGCGTTGACGAAAGTTCGTAATAAGATTTTTTTGTACACTCGCGACAATTTTAGCGATGTTTGCCTCAGAAAAGTTGATAAAATTATTCCGTATATAACTTGTTAAAGCAACAACATAATTCCCGTCACTTTCAATCAAAACAAGACATAGGTAGCGTCTGGTACATTGGAATTCACTCATTGCGAGAGAGTAGGTGGTTAGATACACTTTTAGTAACGACAATAACGAACGAAAAACAGTATGTAATTATTCAGTATGCAGATGCTCTATTTTATATTAAATAACTGATTTGAAACGTATGCAAAGTATGGGAATAAAAACTATTTATCATTATGTGGTTACTCGGTTTCCTATGTGTTTTATTGATAATTTATTTTGTAGGCGAACTAAAAATGGTGAGAAATACTCGATACATTATCAAAACATAAACCGCAATTAATAATATATCACAAGTGTAACCTATATCAACTAATAAAACAAATAGATTCGCCCACGTATTTTTAAGAAATTATTACTATTTCATGTTATGATAGATAGCATTATGTTGTGCAATGAAGTTGCAACTTTTTTTTTCTTCCTGTATAAAAATATTAAATTTCCTATCAAATAACATCATTTACAGACCTTCGGCAAATTTCGGCAACTGTCAAAACTCTAATTGAAAGTTTCAGATACGCAAAAATGATATGTCATGAGATAAATATTTCTAGTATATATATTTATAAATATATAGCATATTTGTGTATACCAAAAAAAAAGTATATATTATAAGCTTTCTAAAATGGTATAATACTTGTATGATTTTCATTGCTAGCTTACTAGAAAATCATCCTGAAAAAAATACAAATTATGATGTTTTCGTGATAATTTTTCAATCATCGTATTTAGATGCTCTTTACTATAAAAAAGTACTAGTTACATACATAATTTATACATAATATAGTAGATCAACTTCTTAGCTATAGTTTGAGGTATAATACAAGTACCTGCGCCGATTTTTACAAAATGTATTTATGGCCAGGCTCTCTTAGGCACCTCCACATAGTGCAGCGGTAGAATTCACGGACCAAGGGTCTCGACACCGAATGGAACAAAATCATATTCGGAGCCTAGACCCCTGAATTTGCATGCCTTAGCTTTTGCTGTCGCTTATTTATTACATTGTATTTCATAAAGTTTGGGTGTAATTTTCTGCACATATAACCCCTTATTAATAAACGAAGACTATGCTTGGATTAGTTACACCATATTTTGTCTCTGTCTATTGAAAGACAAAATGGCATTTGAGTGACATGAACAAAACACGGCGTATCTAGTCTAACCTTATTCCTTGTTTATTAATAAAGGGGTATTAGTTTAAGAAATGTCAGTACACGATTTTCCTGAGTTTAAGTTGTGTGTAGCGGGAAAAATTGCTGATACGGTTTTTTTTTATTTTATTTAGTCATATCAATATTGACAATATTCACAGTCGAAAGTCCGATGAGTTCCGATATATTCTCCCAGGTCGGAGCGTTGATAATCATCATCATGTCAGACTCCAAGTATGCAGCTTCCACTGAAAAAATACATTATAATTATATAACACCTTTGATTAAGTAGTATTTCAAGTAAAGAGCGGAGGGTAGCCAATATTCATAAAACCCATATGACAGTAATCCGCCGCTGCAGCGTAAAGAAAATAAAAATTATGCAGTCCCGTCTTGACAGTGCCATCTTTGACCTATTGGAGGCCCTGGGCATATTAGGATAATGGGGCCTCTATGACCCCTGTTTCATGATTTAACAGGAACTAGGGACTTTGTATTTGATCTGAGGAGGGGCCCTATCGATCGCAGGGTCCTAGACACTTGCCCAAAGTGCCCACTGTGAAAGAGGGGTCTGCGTCTTGAAATAATGAAAACTTGTAGCAACAATACAATTTCCATACATAGGGAACGCTTATATGACAACCAAAAGGCCATTGATAGCCTGATGATGATGCTAATAACAAACCCTCTCATGCTTGACTAAGAGCGATAGAATAACACAGATTGCACCAAATACTAACTTACTGGGGCCAGTTTATAAACAGTAGGAAATTAAGGCCCGTATTACAGAATGACAACTAAGGTTATTAAAAGTTAGAAAGGGATGTCGCTATGTGCTACATATAGCGACATCCCTTTCAATGCTCAAGACTAGATCAATCACTGAGAATCTTTCTATAATACGGGCCTAAGTGTAGATGTAACTTTAATGCCCCAACTCCAACGAAGATGTAGGCGCAATGAGTAAATAACCCAAGCCGGGTAGTGTCATAAATAAATAGGTATTAAATAAATCAGCAGCTAAAGTATTTCGTTGAAACCTTGGAGCATTTACGAAAAAGGCTCTAAGGTTGAAACATCTGGAACGACCTCCGTGGCCGAGTGGTTTGTATGCCGGGTTTCATGTTGTCGCCGACTCGAGAGATCCTGGTATAAATTCCCGGTGGGGGCAGATGTTTGTGTGATGAATACGAGCATTTGTACTCCAGTCATGAATGTTTAATATGTATTTCTATACAAATATACTTATATATGCACAGTATATATATTCTATCCATTACCCTAGTATCCCATAACACAAGACTTACAGTGCTTACTTTGGGGCTCGGCTAATTGGTGTGAGCGTTGGAAATATTTATTTATTTATTTTTTTCATTTTTATCATAGCAATTGAAAACTGCAAGATCTCAAAATGCAACAAAAATGTTTTCTAAACTTAGTCGAAATCGACGTAGTTTTTTCTCATTCACGAGTGCTTGTTAACAGGGTAAACTGTAGACTAATGCATAAAATAATCTTTGCAAATTCGAAATAGTGAAAGATTTATCTAAACTATTTTCCACGAGCAAGAAGGCGGAAAATGAAATGACAGCCAACCCGGCCAAGTTCGAGTCGGACTCGCGCACGAGGGGTTCCGCAGGTGCCATTACCTATAATAAATATATGTAACTATACACTATATAGCCACTATATTGCAATATATAACAAAATTAAGTTTAAAAAAAAACATTTAAATTCATCTTTATGAAAGTACTTATATAAGAATCTTTGAGTAGCAAAAAAAATATTTAAATACGTTAAAATGGTAGTATAGGCTTTGAGGGCCATATTTAAATAATCCTTTAATAACAATAATGATAATTTCTTCTGGCAACTAATTTCTTAAAGAGTTTTTTCAAAATAATTTATAGATACCTCTCATTTGATTGATGTTATCAACAATCTTTTTCAGATTGGAAAGCTCCTTTTCGATATTAGCTTTAATATTATTAAAGAAATCGGGATCTTCGAAACCTAAATCGCTATTATTTTCCATTTTTTGTAGAAAAGTTTAAATATTTATTTTATTTTTAATCTGGCTAAGGCAATAGTTAGTCTTCTTTAAATTTTTTCTTCAAAATTTATGGCCAAATCTGCTTTCCTTTTTTTTTATTAAATATATTTGTGCATTGTTTTGTACAGCCACGTGAACTAAAATATATTTCTTAAGTATATAAAATAAGTATTCTGTTCAAAATCAATTTAATGTTATGACTCATATAATATTACTAGCAAACCAGTGAACCAAATGTTCACCAAAACCTGATTTAAAAAAAAATGTATTTAATTAATTGAGAACTTCGGAGATTTTGTGTGGTTTCGTTTGAAATTCGTGATTTCTCGAAAACCGGAAGTGCTACGTTACTCAAATCCGGTTTGTAGTCTTATCAGACTATTCTTAACTTATAACTTAAATATTCTCTTTATCTATCTCTTACGGTTTGGCCGCTGAAACAGCACCACGGACGGACGGACGGACTTGTCTAATAGATAAGAGATTTTTCAGTCAAACCATGTGGTAAAAGAAAAACAACAAACCAAATTTAAAAACAAAAGCAAGTAAAAATGTATCTCCTAATAAATATTTAACTGAACGCATTCATTCTTTTTTCAAATCACGACTAGATTTTTGTCACCCGTCCAGAAAAAGAGGCGGGAAACACGGAAAACGAAAAAAAAAAGTCCGTAACCATGCAGTCCGTGTTACTAATAATAATAAATCAAAAGAGGCGACAGACCAATGACGTTGTGCAGAAATTAAAATAAAAAAAAAAAAAGTTTGCCGGCCGCCGGCGCGCGACGCTAATCGGCGCAAGCGGCCGAACAATGATGTCAATCGTATCGAGCGTACTAAATCTGCTTTTGGATGACTTTTGGTATGTGTGGCGGCGTCACAGTGCGAATGTCATTGGATTTATAAATACGATACAGCTCCAGAAATAGGTGGCTACAGGTTTTCCAGGCGTCCGAACGAAAATAAAGTAGCCTGGATCCGTTAAACAATATTATTGTCTCGAGCGGTAGAGTACGGCGTCGGATGTGAGTGTTCCAATATAACAATTTACGCTTTCGCTTTCCCACCTTGTTGTTATTATTTATATTTGGTTGTGGCACTATGGATGACGATGAGATGCAACAGTTCTCATTGCGCTGGCATAACCATCAGGTAGGTGAGTAATTATTTACTTTTGAAACACACCACCTACCAACCTACATCGCCACGAATACAGGTACAATATACACGAAACAAAACGATTCTCTTTTAACGAAATTGGCGTCAAAACTACTTCTTATGACTCATTAAAATATATAGTTTTCAAAAACAATTCCAAACTGATGTGTTTCAGTAATTATACAAGCATGTTACAAGCATCGAGAAAAGCAATTGTTTGAGTAAAAATGTTGGAACCATCTTTAGCTCAATTAGATATTATAATCATATCATTTACCTAAACCTGTCAAGATTTACAAGTATTCGATATGTTTTCCAAACAGAGTTTTTAAAACATGAATGTGAAGAATTTTCTTTATTCTACTAAGGTCGCAAGGTCTTACAGCAACACTATGTACATTGTACTTTGATTGGTGTGAAAAGTTTTCTAATTTCAAATATTTGACAGATGGCGCGCGCGAATGTTTTTTTTTAAATTTTTATTTCTATGTCAAGCGCAATAAGAACTTCACCGTCACACTTTGTGGCACTTACATTCATATCATGCTGGTAAGAACATAAGTAAATCCATAATTTAAAAAAAATATGCTCAAAACCACTAAAAACTACAGTACCCATATATATCAAAGTTTAAGTTAACTGTGTAATTTTGTAGTTAATTTTTAAACGCTTATTTATACAACTCGCTAACATACATTAAGGCACGCACATTGACGCAATCATATGTTTGTAAGTTAGGGATGCAACGATAGTCGATACCGATACGATAATTGTATATCGGCGATTATCATAAGTTTTAACGATCATTCGCTTTAGTAAACATTACGATACAATATATACGATTTCTTTTTTCTAATATTTTTACATTTTAACAGTAGTTAAGTACTACAGTTTCAAATTAAACGAAACGCATAACGCGTCAATGTCTGAACACGGGTGGATGTGTTCTGTTTAACATTGACAGATTTAAAAAAATGTCCAATAAAATATTAAACAATAAATCTCAACGACCTCATATTTTAAATTCTCTCTATACACTGTTCGGTTTCTGACAATTCTCGTCCTTGTACCTGCACAACGCCCTGCTACACTTGAAGTAGAGTCATTAAATTTTATTCAAAAATATACCGAACAAGCATAAAATGGATAATCCCTGCTACATACACTAGTCATTGGCTTAATCTTTAAGGAGCCATTAAAGAAGAAATTGAATTGAATTAAACAATAAAAAAAGATAACCTAATCATAGAATTAAATAGGTAGGTACCTAAATTAAAAATGCGAAAATTGTTTTTTTTTACTAAGTCTTGATATTGATATAATAACAAAATAAATTCAATAAAATGCTATTAAACAAAAATCGTAATGTATTCGTATCGTAATTCATATCGTATTGAGCCATTAAAATGTAGGTAATCGTCATTCGTACTAGTATCGTAATAGCCGTATCGTTGCATCTCTAGTAAGTTGTAAGTCATTAATGTGATAAGGCTGATTTTAGTGTAAGTTTAACGCTTTTTAATAACGATGATTCTATGTAAGTAAGTACTTATAGAAGTATATATTTCATTTCGTTCATATTGATATGACCGCGCCGTGGCAAAAAGTTACTCCACCTGATGGCAAGCAGCCGTCCCAGGACCATAGACTATATTAGGCTCTGAATACAGAAAAACTTCTATATTCTGAGACTATAGGCTCTACATATAGCATCTCTACTTAGTCTGTACTCTATATGTAGGGAAAGGGCGCCCAAAGCGGGCACCAGCCTAAAGCGAGCACCACATTCTGAATCAACGTAAACAAACCCAACGAGGTCTTGCGTCTCATAGACCTTTCCGTTCAAAAGTGATATTTTTAGTTTAAATTTGTTACTTACTCATTAATAATGTATAATTTATATGTTTCGTCAATCTATGAAGAAAATATCGCAAAGTTAGTAATGGGTTAATTTAAGAATGTTGAGTTAGTGATGTTGAATTGAGATTAATTATAAGTACTAGAGAGGTATAATTGTTATGTTCAAATTAATATAAATTATGTTTCTGATTATACTGTTGTGCAGTAAATATTCTTTATTACTGCCATTCTTATGTTTTCATAAATATATTTCTTCTTACTTGTAAATTAGATATTTTAAATAGACGCATGCTCGCTTTACCCGTTCTGTGTCCACTTTTCCATTATTTATGTCCATGCCCGCTTTAGGCCACTCTCCGGGCAATATGAGCACACGGAGAGTGTATTCCGTAATATATACCAGTATACTGGCCAGTGCTAATGACGTCATGAATCGACGCTATACTGGTGAATTGTTCCGGATTATACTGGCCAGTGCACTGACGTCATAAATCGACGAAATATTAAAAATAGTGTGAATAAAGAAGAGTTTTTATTCACCTCATAAATTAAAAGGAATTCTTTTTGTACGGTTGCCATTATTGTTCTTTAAATAAAAAAGAAATAAAATTTGAATGCATCTCACGCACGCTCGGTCATACGTCATATTCGTTTTCCCGGTAAAAATATGGTAGCATTCCAGTACAATATGGCGTCGGATTCGTGACGTCATAACCACTGGCCAGTATACTGATGTATATTTCGGAATACACCCGGAAGGGTTTCATATTTTGGGTCTTATTTGTTTTTTAGATTTTCACGCACATCAATCATTAAATAAAACAAGTTTAAACGGTTAGATGCTCTAAGTTTATTTATCAGTATCCGTATCCGCATCTAACCGTTTAAACTTGTTTTATTTTGGGTCTTAGTAAATTATTCTTTATACATACGAGAAATTCATACATTGAGTAGGAAATTAGAAGCAATTTAACATCTTACAGCATTAATAGTATTCTCAGCTATATTTTAATTTAATATACTTCTTTCGCTTGCTGCGACTTATGGTGCTCGCTTTGGGCAGCCCTTCCCCTAAATAAATTAAGTATAATATTTACTTTAAATAATGGCATTATTATTCTAAGACACGCATCACGCGTATTGGCTGCTCTGACCCGATCTTCCAAGCAGTCTTCTATGACCCTATTTTCTGTAGAAATTTAATTTTAATTAATTAGGCCAAATCTGCAACCGTAGTAATGTGTATTTCTAAACCATATCCATAAAAGTAGAAATTTATAATCCGGAGTGACATCAACTTCGAATATATAATTATATAGAGATATCGTACAATTGTTTGTTTTCCTAAATTGAAAAAAAAAACAAAAATTTTTAGTTCTTCGCCTACGATCCGAAAAAAAATCGAGGCTATGTAAGAACACAACAAAAACCTTAACCCCCATATTAATAAACAAAGAATAAGCTTAGACTACTTACACCGTGTTTTGTTCATGTCACTCTAATGGCATTTGTCATTCAATAGACAGAGACAAAACATTGAGTAACTAATCCGAGCGTAGGTAGTCTTCGTTTATTAATAAGGAAGTAAAAGTTTCACTTACGTCGTGGTTTAATAAAAGCACATCTATTTCTTTTTTTCAAACTGTAACCTATTTATTGTTCAATCTTTAAGAAAAATGAAAACATTGGCTCGGACGGGGAAAATTTATGAGCGAAGTTTTCGGTGCTAAACTATTTTTCTAACTTCTGTGCTCATTGGAGTGTACACTGGACTGTGTACCTACTGTATTCTTGGCGAAGTATTTCATTCTTTCTAGATGACCGAGTTCCTTTACTTTCAGTGTACGTCGCTGTACACATAAATAATATTGTATATTATTTTAAACTTTCATGGTCATGTTATTTAGTATTAATTCATGGCGCTTGCATCAGTGGCGAAATTTCGGGGGTTCGCTGAAAACAAGGTACATGGTAGCAATCCCATAAATAACATAATCCACTTGATATTAATTACGAGCTATATTCATTTAAATTTTCCTACTGATTTCCATGAAAATTTTAAGTAAAGTAAATAACACTTCTAAGAATTTTAAAGTTTAATTACTTACCTACTTGAAAGTTGATGTTGGGTTTATCAATGTGCCTGAGGCGCATTAGAACAAATGAATAAATAATAAAAATCGACATATTTATCCAAAATATTATATAAAAGTGTATATTTGTTTCTTAGGTTTTCATGCACATTAAATAAAACAACGGGATGATGGATGCACTGATTTTATTTATTTATTGATGTTTCGCAGTCTCTGCGAATGAGGGCTACCGTTTTCTGTCTCACCAGATGGCGCCACTGTTGAGTGAGGTCCTAAATTGTAACTTTTAAAGTTTATTATTACGCACATGAAATCAAAGGTTACATTTAGATAGTATTTTAACACAAAAGAACCATATCCTAAACATAATAGGCCATGCCACAGTGACGCGCAGTTCCGTTTTATTCGGAAAAAATGGGAACATAATCATTTTTCTAAGCTCAAATTTTTAATAACTGACATTCATTGCCACATAACTTATATTTGCCATAATTAAGCCGAATTGTTACCAATTATTCACAACATTATTTTAATTAGAAATAAGCCCGCGTAGTCAACCAACAAGCAATAACATTAAACATTTCGGAGACCTCACGCTACACTAGCGCCTCTAGCGGCGGATTCATACGCGATAGCCCTCACGCAGTCCTGAAAAGGCTGCGAAACGTCAATAAAAAAATATGCGTGGCACTCGTGGACTGCCTCGGTAAAGCTATTGCATAGCATTATTTATCAACTTATGCAACTATAATTATTTATTTATTTTATTTATGCAGTTTTTTTTTGCTTTGATATCAATTCAAGATTTTTCTTTGATATTTATAGATGGCGAGGTAGGCCTTATGATATTTTATTTTATTGGGCAAGCACAGCAAAAATAGCATTGCCCGGCGCCAAAAAACTTAAACAAGCTCCACAGTTTACCATCTTTAGTACAATTTATTTAGTACTGGGATGGCTCCGCCAAGTACTTGCTCGATGCTTTGGATAGGTTACAGCGGCGCGCGATCCGAATCATAGGCGATGAGGAGGTGACTAAACACCTTGAGCCTCTTCAATTACGTCGTGACGTGGCGTCACTAAGCGCGTTCTATCGTCTGTACCACGGCGAGTGTTCTGAGGAGTTATTCTCTCTTATCCCACCTTCCCCTTTCCTTCAGAGGACCACGCGCGCTGGTCTACGTTGTCACCGTCTTACTGTGGCTACAATTCCAACGCGTACAAAGAAATTTGGTGACTCATTTCTTTGTCGCACTATCCGTAAATGGAATGCTCTGCCCGCTCACGTGTTCCCTCCCTCTTACAACCTGGGATCCTTTAAAAGAGGCGTGAAGAAGCAACATGCAGGCCGGCAGGGTGAGGATGGCTGGTGTGGCAGGTAGAACTGCTGTTTCAGCTATCTTCGCGTCTGGACTTCACCTTCACTTAACATCAGGTGGGGTGGAGTCATTTGTCGGACCTATCTATTAAAAAAAAAAATTATAAAGTCGAAGTAAATGAAAGCCCGCGATAAAATCTATGCAATAGCTTAATAAATGAAATCAGTGCATCTAACCCGTTGAAACTTGTTTGATTTAAAAGTGTATAAGTAAATGTATATGCTTTAATTTTTTTCAGCAATACAAAAACTGCTTGTAATGGCAGTTTTTGTATAATTTCCACCTTATATACTAATAGCTTGAAATAAATTGATTTCACTTGAAAACTTATTTTATAATTACATAAATAAAACCATCGTTCATCGTGTATACAATTTCACTTTAACTGCAATAACAAATTAGACACACTCATTAAATGTTATCTAAATACTTCTTGCTGCTAGACTTTCTGTAAAAAGGAAACTATTGTATGAAATTCTACAGAACAGCGTTATAGCAGCCCTGGGGCGTATGCTGAGCACTGGAGCCCTGGCCGACGTGACTCTGAGCGCCAGTGGAACTTCGGTCAAAGCCCATAGGCTGGTCCTGGCTTCCTGTAGCCAGTACTTCGCGCAACTCTTCAAGGTACATTCTCGTGTTTCATTTGACATTGCGGATTATCTACAATACTTAGTGAGGGCGCTGCCTGAACGCAGCCCTAAGGCATATGCTGAGCACTGGGGCCTTGGCCGACGTGACCCTGAGCGCCAGCGGGACTTCCGTCAGAGCCCACAGAATGGGCCTGGCTTCCCGTAGCCAATACTCCGCACAACTCTTCAAGGTACATTCTCGTGTTTCGTTTGACATTGTGGGTTACGCACAATGCGAAGAGATCCTTGAGATCCTTGTCTGAACAGCGTAATAGCAGCCCTGGGACGTATGCTGAGCACTGGGGCCTTGGCCGACGTGACCCTGAGCGCTAGCGGGACTTCCGTCAGAGCCCACAGAATAGTCCTGGCTTCCTGTAGCCAGTACTTCGCACATTCTCATGTTTCGTTTGAGATTGTGGGTTACCTACAATGCGAAGAGATGGCTCTGTCTGAACAGCGAAGTAGTGGCGCTGGGGCGTATGCTAAGCACTGGAGCCCTGGCCGCCGTGACTCTGAGCGCCAGCGGAACTTCCGTCAGAGCCCACAGGCTGGTCCTGGCTTCCTGGAGGTAGTATTTCGCGAAACACTTAAAGGTATATCATGTTCAATTCATTGAGTGTACCTATATTTATTTATTTATTTATATCACATTGCTCATGTACATTTTTTATTATAAGGTCTTACATACTTAATAGAGAGTGGTACATGACCCCGTTGGGGTGTTGCAACAAACTTAAGCTTAACATTAAATACATTAATTTCACTTAATTGTTGATCATATTAAAAAATTATTTAACATCAGGTCCAACCAAATTTAAACAAAATCAATCCATTTTAAAAATTAATTAAGTAAATTTATATCATATCATGTCATCATAATCATATCATATCATAATAGTCAAATCGAAATCATATCGTATCAAGTTAAACAAAATCAAATCAAATTAATAGGTCAAACATAATTAAGTCAAACTAAATCAAATCAAATAAACAGGTCAAGCATAATTAAGTTAAATTAAATTAAATTTATTTTTCATTCATAAATTCATCAACAGAATAATATGCTTTTTTTATAAGATGCTGCTTCAATCTATTCTTAAATATGTTTATATTAGATTCTGTTTTATCGTTATGAGCGCGAATGTAATCAAATACTTTACCACTCAATAAGCTGCCATAAGTTTTATCTCAGTTTTCTCAGATTAATAACTTTTTTAATTGACCTGGGGGCCAATCGCCTATCTGGATTGCTTTGGAAAACGCTATCGCTTACGATTTCATTTTGTTATTTCTAACCGCCGAAATACCTCACGCTCATTTTCTTTAACATTGTTATTACCAATGCAAAAGAAAAAAAAAGAGCGCGAGGCATATGAAAACCTCAGGGGGCTAGAAATAACAAAATGAAATCGTAAGCGATAGCGTTTTCCAAAACAATCCAGTTAGGCGATTGGCCCTCTGAAGTTTTAATAAATTCTAAACAATACGAAATAATACTAAGCAACTTCCACCTTACAGAAGACGACAGCTACCTTTTGATGGTATTGTGATTTTGCTGTTGATTAGGGTTCCATCCATGGCTCCAAGGGATAGACGGTTTGGGTTCAGTCCAGAAAGGTGAAAATGGCTGCAGCGTCGTGCTTTCTGCCGCATCGAGCCCCTCTCTTTGCGACTGGACTCCACTTCCAATTAACATCAGGTGGAGAAGAGTAATTTGTTGCGTTTCGTTCAAAAAAATATCTTTTATGACTAGCAACAAAATTAAAGTAAAAATAAGCCCGACAGCTTCCAATTCATAGGAAATAAAGAACAAGCGCATATTGAGCCACTAATGGCGGCCACTAAACGCAGACATTACTGCCTAAAACGCAGCTGAAGAAGATTTATCACTATTCAAATGTTTGTTCAGGAACTAGATACTGACAGCAACAGCGTGGTAGTAGTGCTAGGATGCGAGCCGGCGGAGCTACGGTTACTGCTTACATTCATGTACACGGGGGAGGTCACCGCCCCCAAGAGAGGACTGCCCGCGCTGCTCAGGCTAGCTCACACACTCAAGGTCTCCGGGCTCACCGACGCAGATACAGTGAGATTATAGATTAATTACTTTAAAAACTAGACAGTGATAGCAATAGAGTCGTGGTGGGAGCTGCGTTTAATTTTTACTGTCATGTACACGGGGGGGACGGGGGGGACAACCGCCCCCAAGGGACGACTGCCCGCGTTGCTCAAGTCACACCCTGAAGGTACTCTGAAGGTCTCGACTCACCGACGCAGACACAGTAAGATCATAGTGTAATTACTTTAGAAACTAGACAGTGACAGCAAAAGTGTTGGTGGGAGCTGCGGTTACTGCTTATCTTCATGTACACGGGGGAAGTAACCGCCCCCAAGAGAGGACTGCCCCCGCTCCTCAGGCTAGCTCACACACTCAAGGTCTCCGGGCTCACCGACGCAGATACAGTGAGATTATAGTTTAATAACTTTAGGGAAATATACAGTGGAAGCAACAGCGTGGCAGAGCTAATACGCTGTTCTAGCTACCTCACACCCTGAAGGTCTCCGTACTCATCGACGCAGATACAGTGAGATCATAGTTTAATAACTTGAGGGAAATATACAGTGGAAGCAACAGTGTGGCGGAGCTTATATGCTGTTATAGCTAGCTCATACTCTGAAGATCTCCGGACTCACCGACGCAAATACAGTGAGATCATAGATTAATAACTTTAGGGAAATATAGGTACAGTGGAAGCAACAGTGTGGCGGAGCTTATACGCTGTTACAGCTAGCTCACACTCTGAAGATCTCCAGAGTCATCGACGCAGGTACAGTGAGATTACAGTTCAATTACTTTAGGGAAATCTGATCGAGCCAGCTAGCTCACATCCTGTAGTTTAGTTAATTTAATTAGTTACCCAACTGCCACATATAAGTAAATTATTAATTCTTCCAGAATTCAACACTAATATCGACTGAATCCGAACAACCTGCAGAATGCGAGAAATCCAACTCCCCCGTTAACCTAGAACTAAAAAGCGACCACAACTCGAACTTCCTCGTCAACGACAACTCCAGTGGTAGCTCCCGACTCGATGACGTCATTACAGAGAAGACCATAACAGACAGGAATACAACCACGGTATATCAACAAGACTTGGCGAGAACGGAAAGAGATAGACTTAGCAAACTGGACCAGATCGTACAGAATCTATATAGCACGCACAAGATTGGGAATCCTGCGGCTCCTGTTGTTCCACCTGGAATCAATTTGGCTGGTGAGTTTAGTTTTTTTTTTTCTATATGAAAATGGTGACAAATAAATATAATGGTGCTTCTGATGTAAGTGGCTACCATAGCCTACAGACGCTTGATATGCCTGGACCATACGTGCATTTGCGCGATGTTTGCTCTACCTGTATACTTTAGTGAAGCTCAGAAAACTTTACTTACAGCAAGAATAGAATACTACATACAGACCCGTCTTTCCCAGTGGGCACTTTTGGCAAGTGCCCAGGGCCCCACGATCGATAGGGGCCCCCTCAGATCAAATACAAAGTCCCTAGTTCCTGTTAAATCACCAAACGGAAGTCATAGGGGCCCCATTATCCTAACATGCCCAGAGCCTCCAATAGGTCAAAGACGGCACTGACTACATACTCGTATATAATAATGTTCTTAGTTTGCTTCAACATTCAGTGAAGTGGAGAATGCTTTACCATGCTAGCTCATATGAGCAGAAAATCCACTGTGATCTCTTCTGAAACCACATCTTACCTAGATGCTTGATCTAGTAGCTCTATAAATGTTTACGATATCATAGTATCATTCAGGGCCTAACCTGACAGCATTCTCTACCGATGAGTTACCTCATATTGAAATCATTTTAATACAGGGGGAGAAAAATAGCCCTTGCTGAGTTTCTTGCCGGTTCTTCTCAGTGCAAGGTCTCCCGCCGTAGATTTGCGAACCGATGGCGTAGCTTTTCGACATTCACAAGTGCTTGTAACAGCCTAGACTGAATAAATACCTTGTAGAACGTTGAAAACTTAACGTCAGAAGCATAACACCATTATAGCCTAGTGTTACTACACTGTGGTTTCTGTAAGGTGGATGTTGTTTTTCCTCTATCCTCTTAAAGTAGTTTGTCTTCATTAAGATTTTTTACCAATCTAAATCTTTTCTTCTCTTCAACCTCTATATTATAATCGAGCTCGGGATAGTAAATTTTTGGTAACCTCCTTGATCGCACATCGAATGTATTTACCACTTGCGCCAAAGAGTTTATCGACAAGATAAATAGCTTTGAACAATATAGAGGCTGGGAGAGGAAAAGAGATGGTTCGAATCTTTTACAACGACCGGTCGCAGGATGGTCTTTCAAAAATTTATTAACACCTACGTGCTTTGCAAGGCGCGTTAGGAACCCTAGCACCAAATTAAAGCCATTAGCACCTAGCAGTCAACACTGAACCCTCGTCAATGGCTTGTTCTCCCTATTCCATCCATAGGGAAGGCCTGCGCCCAGCAGTGGACAAATTAATAGGCTGATGATGATTTATCCATTTTATGTGTCATATCCTTGCTGCTGAATTTAAAAGGGGTAATACAAGAATTTCTCTTCTCTTATAGGCATAACACCCGACCCGCCCGACTCATACGACCCAAAATGGCGTTCCAACTCAGTCTGTACAGTTTGCAACAAACGCCTCAGCAATCAGTACAACTTACGCGTTCATATGGAAACGCACGCGGGCCGTCGACACGCTTGCCGCGCCTGTCCACACGTTTCACGATCTAGAGACGCCTTGAGGAAACACGTGGCTTATAGGCATGCTTCAACACAACGGGATACAGTATGATACTATTGTCACTGTTATAGCACTCTAACCCCACTTACTAGAAGACCTTTCCAAGACTAACTCTAGGGATATGCAATGGGAACAGTTTCTACAGGCAAATTGTGTCGAAGCGGGATGCCGCCCGATCATACTTTCTAATTCACAGCACAAAACACAGAAGGTCAGGAGGGTGCTTATAAACCGTTTGTACGGGAACCGATAATGAACGCCGGCTCGACCCCATTACAGTTCCACCTAATAGATAATAGCCAATCAAACGACGCTACATCAAACAATCGACCCAATCAGCACTCACACCCGCGAGCAACGACGCAATCAGAACCAAGTTTGGGTCAAGTTATGAGAATTTACTCACATATAACTATGGCGCGCCTGCCCCGCCCACAAGGCCTTTCTAACCTCTTGCTGTGTTCTGTGCTGATCTATACTATACTAACCTTAGATTAAAACAAAAAGGGTAGATACGGTACGCTCATACTTGCATCAAACAAAAACTGATCCCAAAACGCTAACGCTTTCGATTTTATTTTGTTATTTCTGACCGCCGAAGGATTTTAAATACCTCACGCTCATCTTTTTTAATACTGTTATTACCAATGCAAAAGAAAAAAAAAGAGCACGAGGCATTTGAAAACCTCAGGCGGCTAGAAATAACAAAATGAAATCGTAAGCGTTAGCGTTTTCCCAAGCATTTCCGCTAGGCGAATGGCCCCCAGTCCTCGAGGACTGGGGGCCATTCGCCGACGTCGCTACCGAATAAGATTCAAAACAAACAGAGTTTTTTATGAAAAAATATATTTATAGTACTTACGAATGAAAAGTGATGCCTTGGGTTTTATGTTTAGTTCTTGAGCAATTTGAGCACTTTTTAAAAACACAGGCATTGTTTTATCATATAAACACAAAATATTAGCAATATTTCTTTTTGGCGTTCACATGTACGTCGTTTGCATGTCAAGTTGTGACTAAAGCGATTAGGGTCGTAGACCACAATTTATGCGGATCACTTTTGTAAGGCTAGTGCCGTATCTACCCTTTTTGTTTTAATCTAAGATACTAACATTCGAATATCACATCTACTAACTCGGACGACCTTTACAAGGATCACTCTAGGATTTCACTGCGTCAATACCTCGCCTACAGCCCCTACAGGTGTGCCGCTTATAGAATACTTTAGCACACTATGCCACTAAATTACCCCACTATACCACTATTAGAGCATACTAGTACCTAGTTACTTTAACACATCAAACTCACATCTACTATCTAAACTTAGTCGTCCCGTTCACCACTCGCATTTCCCAACCACTTTAAAATTTGCTTTTACAGTATTTCTTGCTGTGAAATGGATTTTGCTTATTATTCTACGGATTCTGTATGTATACAGAAACTGGAGATGTAGTCTTAATGTAGAGTCTGAATTATGGCAGAAACAGACTTATGAAACGCGACGCCACGCCACGCGTATTTTCTATGGCGTATCGTGTCGCATCGGATGGTCCTATTGTGATTCTAAACATAGAAAATAGCACGTTTTGATTTGACTCCACACGCCTGGCGTGGCGTCGGCGTCGGGTGGCGTTGCGTTTCATAAGTCTGTTGAATCGCGTTTCAATATGCTACCCGACGCCACGGGAGTTATTCTGTACCCTTTGTACGAGTTTTTCACACTCACTAAGGGTACTGATTTTATTGTTTTCGTTTCAACACAAATAAACAGTGTTTAAATTCTATCATTAAATCATTTGCACCTTCTTTGTATAGTATATTTGGTTACTTTTCACCAAAATGGACATAGAAACATAATTTATATTTACAAAAACTATGATAGTTTTCGTGAGCTTAAACTCGTACTAAGGGTACTGGAGTGTTCTCATACAAAACTGTTAGTCAAACGTTAACCAAAAGTACCAACATGTCAATGTCCTGTCCTTACAAAAACATTGTTTATTTATTTTAGATAGGTATCGTATGTAAACCAATCTTAAGCCGAATTTTTAGGAATAATCTTACCCATGTTTCCAAAAACAGTTGTAGCTCATCGGTTTTAGAGTTCTTTAACGAGCTAAAGGAATCGAATTCTTCATATAATACTAACTTAATAGAAGCGACGGATTAACGGGAATACTTTATCCATTGTTAAAATTACGTTAAAATTTCTATTTACATAAAAAAATGACATCTGAAAGTCTTCGGAGTATCTACTGAGACATTTTAAGAGATTTTCATTCATTAGATATTTTTATCCCTAACAATAACAACAGCGATGTTAATTATGCATAAAAGTTTACCCACCGAAATGTCATTTTCGATTGTTTTCATTATGTATTTTGTCTTGTTAATTTTATAATTCGCACGTCACAAACAAAAGGGTATTTATTATCTTCAAAAACAGTGTTTTGAGATATCGCGTTTTGAAGTTTTAAAAAATCATAGAAGCGGAACTTCTTGTTCAAATGTTTAAAATGATACCTTGATTTAAACATACAGTATCCTTCTTTGTGTTGAGTAAGTTTAGTTAGTGTATCAATAGCGGTTTTTATTTTAAAAGTACTTTTATGTGACTGGGTAAAGAGAATACGTTAAAATTAAAACTAGTATCATTTTATAATAATTTCGCTGAAAATAACATATTAAATAAAATTGAACAGGCCATAGGGGTATTATTTTAACTAAAACTTCAAACTTGTATTAATCCGAACGGGCAATAGACATTGTAAACAGTATTAACTTAACTTAATATTGTTTAGAATACTCACAATCATAAATGTTGCCTAGAAATTGACGACATGTGTTGCTATAATTCAAAAACTTACCAGTTTATAGAGAAAACAAAGTAGTTTTCGAAACGCTAATAAGAAAAAATGGTTTTGCCGACTTAATACCCTATTATTTGTGACGTGCGAATTGTGGTTGGTTCATCTAGTGCCCTTGAAGACATTCTTATTAAAATACTTTCACATAATCTAATAATCAATTACACAATAGGTAACAACGAAAATCAAACGTAAGTTAGCGTTTTTGGAAATAAAAATACAGAATTAAAAGGATTATATTGGGTATCAGCATCAGCTTGGGAGACATTTTTAAGAATGAATAAGTAAAAGATGAACTAACCAAAATTATTTATATTCTTACCTTTTTAGGACTGTTTGTTTGTTTACGTATATGTCATAGGACGCGCTTACACAGAAGCAAAGTTCAACAGAGTGTTAAATGTATTTAATACACCATCTCCCTTTTATTTTATAAATAGTCTGAAAAGGATATATTGCTATCAAAATTACAAAAAGCACTAAGAATAGCCATGTGAATGCTTGCATCAGATTGTAATCTAAGAAACTTTTTCAAATATTCCAAAGAAAAGATAGAGTTAGCGATCTAAACTCTGCTTCTGCGGAGACGCATCAAAACTAGAGTAGATCTTTACCTAAATATTTATGTTTTACATAACATTATTTATTGTTAGCAAATATATTTATAGGTCATTAACACTCCCTGTTTATTCGTAACTATTAAATTACTCCTGTAGTTTTAAGTTTTTTTTTTTTAACTTCTAAGGTTATAGACATAAAGTTGAAATTGGTTCAGAACAATTTATGGCACATTGGCACAGAGTAAGGATATTTCATACAGAAGCTCAAGAACGAACTTTGACAGATCCGTAATCGTGTCGCATCGTCAAAGTTTGTATGAAATCTAAACAGTGCCCCTATCGGACGTAAGAACAAACTGGCTCCTCCCATACAAAATTTGACGATGATGATACGATAACTCTGAAGAATATGAGTCTCTAAAGTCCAAAAAAGTAGACATATAATCTACTATACAGATAACTTGGGGAACACGTTACTGTTCAAAGCTAATATGGTAAATTATTCATATATTATTTCTTAATAATTCAAAAGGTATGTCTGCATTCCTTACTAGGCCAAAGGCGTTGGACTTGTATTAGAATAAATGTCTTATTCTGTGACTTGAGTTACCCATTGTGACGTTTGATAAGTGTACAACGGCTATTTTGAATAATCCAATTCTATTGTTTCTTAGGTTTTCACGCACACCACTTATTCAATAAAACTAATTAAATAGTAAGAGAGAGACAAAGCGATTGTACAACCAGTATAGTAGTACGAAAATGTATGAGTTGCACTGTCGCTTGTCTCTTTCTAGAGAATAATTTCATACGGATGTCGCTCAGTTCATTGTTTTTCTATAGTAATTATTAATAAAATGCTAGCACTTAACATGGCTATTCGTGTATGCTATTTGTCATTATGAGAGCAGGTTGTCCTTATTATACTCTATAGGGAGTGAAAAGGAGAGACTGCTGTCACGTTCACGAATAGCAAACACAAATAGCCATATGAAGTGACGGTATAAAAAAAATGGTTGCCTGTAAAGTCGGTTTTACGGGCGAAGATTTTACGTGACAACGTCTTTTTCTCGGTAGAATATTTATTGATATGAATATAATTAAATTGCACAATAGGAACAAGGAATTGAATGAAAATAAGAATTGCACAAATTTTAACTATAGAAATATATTTTGTTTACTAAAACATTGTACATGTAAACTTAAACTTAACACGAGAGACTCATCGTAACGTTACCGAGCGTTACACTTTTTCATAAGTGACTCCCAGCCGCAACCTAATTTAAGACGTTGTCACGTCAAAATATATCACTTAATGTCAAATCTTACAATTATGCATGTATGTATACACATTCTGTGATAGACTTATTAAAGACAATTTCAACCGTCATAATTATGTAGACACATTTACCTTATATACATTACGTATACATAATTTAATTAAGATAATATATACGTGTATGTATTTTATAAAAGACATTTGAATAAAGACATAATTATATTTATAGTGAAATAATAATAGTGTTACTTATTTGCTGTTTCATTTTCCTAACTACCTCTCTTGTATATATTTTAAATGTGAAGACTTAATAAATAAAAATGCAATCGTACAAGTGTATACAACTTTTATTTACCATCGTACATACTTGATTAGTATAAGAAACAGTAAAAAAAGAGAATATATATATTAATATTTATATATCAAGAAATTAGTACAAAAATACTGTTTAGAAAATTTTAATTCTACTTTTAGAAAAAAAAATCGTTGCGTAAAAGATTTACTGTCCATCGCATTTCCCGTAGCATGAGCACCACAATTTACAACATATAACGTTTTTTTTATCGCGTCAAACTGTCAAATTCCATAGTAATTTGACAATTGAGAATGATAAAAACGAGCTACATATGATATCGCGGTGCTCATACTATATCTATTTGACACCTTATTATACAAATAAGTATAAATAAAATTAAACAAAAAATGTGCTAAGTGTGTGCTTGACTGCAATGACTTAATTTAAAATTAAAACATTTTTAATACTTTCTGAATAATTCAGTATTTAGCTTAGAGAGGAGAAATTTTAAATATGCCTGCTAGTTTTTTTTAATATAAATATTATACAAAATAAAAAGACAATTCATTGCGCTCTATATCATCGCGTATTTTCCTAAAAATAAAGCTGGTACACTCCTTTATTATTCACAGTTAAAGGTGAAAAATAGTTTGATAGTACAAAAATGATCTTTCAAAACGAAAATAAACATAAGAAATCACAACTTTGGCCTAAAAAGTGTCAACGGCTGACTTGAATAAATAAAAAAATAAAGCCGAAATCAGTACATTAATGATAAGTCAACACCACCAAACCGCGAATATAGTAATTATGTAATTCCATTTATCTGTAAAAGATTCAGTTGGTTAATTAAAAACGTCACTAATTTAGGCATCTGTTTATTACAAGTTATAACTATGAAGCTTGTCAAATAGTTATTACATTGTGACTGCAAAAGAAAGGAAAATAAATTCATTCATGTTAGCGACGATTTCATAAATATAAATTAGATATAACAATATGTACTTTATGGTCATACGTAAATTTATTTATACCATTTTATATGACTTCATTCTGTGACAACTCCATACAAAATAGAACTACTGGCTTCGGATGAAATGCATGAAAAAAAATTGAGATCAAAACAAATCTCTACGGTCAGTCTGTTGTTTGAACTTGTGTCATTATAGAAAGCAATCGAGAATGCCGACGTGAGACATTCAGTCTCTCTCACACGTTAGGGGGCATTCAAGTATTAATTAATGCAATTTGGGGGGGAGGGGCTGTTCTTGTAAAACGTTACGATGCGTTATATAGGGGCGGGAAGGGTGTTCGATCAACGCGTTACGTAACATTGTTTTTTATTTATACAAAAAAAAATAGCATTTTAAAATCTCCGAAGTTGGCAACACTTTTCGTTTATGGTTTGCAAAAGTTTAAAGTAAACATGTTATTTTTATTGAAAGAGATAAAAGAGCTAAAATAGGAAATGCATGAGAATAGTAAGACAGTATGGGTACCTATGATAAAACTTCATATGTTAACTGTGTAAACAATTAGTGTATGTATGGTGATGATTTTGCATGTATTTACTTATCGCTGTCAATGATGTTGGAAGGGAGATGTTGTAGGTAGTTTAAGATATAAAAGCAATGTACCTTCAGAAGTAAACATACTTAATTAGTCGTTTCCTAACTGGCGTATTATTCATACATACTCAAACATATTACAGTATTAATTATTAATTACTACCTACAAACGCAATAGTAACAAAAGTTATTCAGCTACTTTGGGTAAAAATGGTCAGTTGGGTTTTACGTAACGTTTATTGGAGGGGGGAGGGGGGGTCAAAAATCTTCAAATTTTGCGTTACGTAATACCTGAACGCTCCCTTACTTAGGATAGCATGACGTGCGAGAAGAACAAAATATCTGACGTCTTTATCCTCGATTCCTTTCTTTAATAACACGAGTTATACAACTAAACATCTGTTAGTATTATTTACCACGAGTTAAATTACTGAGCGGTCGATTAGATATTTAATTAAAAAAAATCACAAACTTAAGTTACAAGCGAAATAAATATGTTAGCATTCTCATACAGTACATTGACTTACTTATAGTAATAAATAAACTCTTTAGTTATATAGAGAGGTGAACATTCTGATACGCAAATGCGAGTGTGTATTATATTCGACTTTGTGCTATTTTAAATTAAAGACCAATTTGCGGAAACGATCGTTCATAATATTTGTAACTTTGTAAGCAATATTGGAGAAAAAAATTGTTCAAGTCTTATAAGATTATTTTGTTCAAGTCTTATTATGCAGAACATAATAGGATTTCTAAGGTACTAATTTTTGAAGATATATTTTAAGAAAACAAATACTATTTTCCCTATCGCTTCATACTGTATTGTGTTTTAAAAAGTCAGTACTTTTATATATGTACTTGGACTTTAGTAATGCAAACAAATTACTGTTTTACCGAAATTTCGTACAGTTATGTTCATTCTGAATTCTTCTCAATATTGAAAAATTCTCTTATTTTTAATATTCTAAAAATATAAAATATATAAATCCTTCGAATCAAATCACTGTTTAAATAAAAAAACAAACATTACATTTCTATTTTTCAACAATTATCAAACAAGAATGGACTATATTACTAGAAAAAATTCCATGCGGGCCAGGTAGCAGACGGGAGTCGTTGCCTGGTCCACGGTAATATAATGGTAATATTTTCTCCATCCACTGGTAATATTTTCATTAGATTTAAACATCGAGCAGATAATGCTTAAAAATTAAAATTATAAAAATTTACTATATTACTAAGCCATATATGACATAAATACTGAGTGGATTTATTCAATAATCAAACCGAATTAGACAGTAACATCTAGGTCAAACGTGTCATAAATTCTGAATAGATTTGTTCAAGTAAACAAACAAAAATGGACTCTTAACTCTTCTTGAATAATACCAAAGCTGGATGGATTTTTTCAATAAAATCAGACAAATAGACTATATTATATCATCAAAGCCACATACATGTCACAAATGCTCAGCAGAAGGCGTATACAGAATGTTCCCCCCTCGTAGTGGAAGGTTTAGGCTTTGGGCACCGTCCAGATGCGAGTGTTGGCATCCTGGCCGACAGACACTACTGTTTCATCGTCCAACCACGCCAATCCTGTTATCTGACTCTGGGGATGAGCGTCTGTGGAAAATAAAATTACGTTTATGTTGGAACTAGCGGCCCGCCCTCGCTTCGCTTCGGTGTAAAGCTGAAGTGTAGACTACAGTTTTTGTTCTCAGGCTTGTATTATACACAATGACATTCATCTATGATTCTTCTTATACCTGCATGCAAAGTCTCAGCCCGATCGGTTTAAAATTGACAAAGTTTCATACTTCATTCCCTATTTTATCCCCTTGGGGGTAGAATTGATCAAAATCCTTTCATAGCGTATGCCTACGTCATAACATCTACCTGCATGCCAAATTTCAGCCAGATCCGTCCTGTGGTTTGAGCTGTGCGTTGATAGATCACTATGTCAGTCAGTCACCTTTGAGTCCTATATATATAGATATAATCACACTAATATAATAAAGGCGAAAGTTTGTTAGTGTGGGAGTGTGTATGTTTGTTACTTCTTCACGTCTAAACGGCTGGAACGATTTTAATAAAATTTGGTATAGAGTTAGCTGACACCCTGGATTTAAACATAGACTACGTTTTACTGCGGGAAAATATCCCTAAAAAACCGCAGGTAACACCGTAGGGCACAGTTAATAAAATATAATACTTGGGCTGAGCGTCTATGAAAAAACACAAAGCCAATCCAATCCCAGGCGTTTTCAGTCACGTGACAATAGATAAGAAAACTATAATCTTTTACGTAGGTTTTTAGTAAAAATATGTTTTTTTTTTTGTAAAAATAGTAAAAACCGCTGCCAATATTCATTCTAAATACAGATGCTAAAACAATTGGCACTTTATTTTTAATACTGTCAAATACCCTGTCGAAACCCTCCTCCAAGAAATTTATTGTCTGAGCACGCTAACCCTGTGATCAGATTCTGATGGTGAGTATCCGAGGAATATAGTTATCACTATTTTTTACATAGTTTTTTTTTGCTTTTTTTATAACATAGTATAAAAGAGAGTGAGTCCTGGTGATCTATCAAAGGTTTTCTTATATATCAGACACCAGCCTCCCATAAAGGAATGAGTGACGCAAATCTACGTATTACGCCTTTGTAAAAGTGAAATAATTAAATAAAGTCGCTCCTGCTTAATGTACGCTGAGATCTGTTAGGCTAGGCTAATAAAATAATAAATATTTCCAACACTCACACCAATTAGCCTAGCCCCAAAGTAAGCACTGTAAGGCTTGTGTATGGGATACTAGGGTAACGAATAGAATACATACACAGTACCTACATATATAAGTATATTATATAGAAAAACATATTAAACATCCATGACTGGAGTACAAATGCTTGTATTCATCACACAAACATCTGCCCCAACCGGGATTCGAACCCGGGACCTCTCGAGTTTTCGACACCTTGAAACCCGGCGTATAAACCACTCGGCCACGGAGGTCTTCAGCTAAAAGAGATGACGACGCCACAGGGTAAAGTAAACGAAATACTATTCAATCCGTCAGTTAGATAATAAAAAATAATGGACGCATATTTTGAAGTGAAACTTCTTTACGCACGCTTGACTTGGGGGGTAAGCTGGCGAATGCGTTGCGCGTTACGAAAAGTGTGTTCAGGCGAGGCAAACGGGAGTCGAGTGGGGGATTTAAGCAAGAGAAAGCAGTGCGTACGCACATTTTATGTGTGCTTATGACCACACGACTGAAGTGAAACTTCTTGAGCTCCATCTGTATGTATATATATATGTGTTCGTGTGTACAATGTACATGTACAAAATATACTACAAATTCCATTTACTAGCTATAAGAGAAAGAGAGAAAGAAAATGTGCGCGCGCACTGCTTTCTCTTGCTTATATGTAACTCAACTCCCGTTCGGCTCGCCCGAACACACTTTTCGTAATGCGTAACGCATTCGCCAGCTTACCCCCAAGTCAAGCGTGCCTAAAGAAGTTGCACTTCAAAAAAGTTAGTTTTTTTTTATTATTTCCAACACACACCAATTAGCCTAGGCCCAAAGCACTGTAAGGCTTGTGTTATGGGATACTAGGGTAACGGCTAGAATACATATAATGTACATTATATAAGTATATTTATATAGAAATACATATTAAACATCCATGACTGAAATACAAATCCTCGTATTCATCACACAAACATCTGCCGCCGCCGGGATTCGAACCCGGGACCTCTCGAGTGCGCGACACCATGAAACCCGGAAACAAAAGTCTTAATCCCTATTAATGTATTTGGCATATTTATTTCTTATACTCACTCTTGATGACAGTATGTTTGGCCGGGGTCAATACGCTCCATATGATGACGCTAGTGTCCAGGGATCCGGACGCGACCCGGGTAGAGTCCGGACTGAACGCGACGCAGTTCACCCGGGCGGTGTGGAAGCCCCATTCTTTATTGTGGGCCGGCTATATATATAAAACATATAAATGGTTATAATCTCTTATCTATTAGACAAGTCCGTCCGTCCGTCCGTGGTGCTGTTTCAGCGGCCAAACCGTAAGAGATAGATATAGAGAATGTTTAAGTTATAAGTTAAGAATAGTCGGATAAGACTACAAACCGGATGTGAGTAACGTAGCACTTCCGGTTTTCGAGAAATCACGTGATTTCTATTTCAAACGAAAACAACCAAAATCTCCGAAGTTCTGAATTAATTAAATACTTTTTTTTTTTTGGTGAACATTTGGTTCACTGGTTTGCTAGTCTCTTATCTAATAGACAAGTCCGTCCGTGGTGCTGTTTCAGCGGCCAAACCGTAAGAGATAGATAAAGAGAATGTTTAAGTTATAAGTTAAGAATAGTCTGATAAGACTACAAACCGGATTTGAGTAACGTAGCACTTCCGGTTTTCGAGAAATTCTCGAGAAACGAATTTCAAACGAAACCACACAAAATCTCCGAAGTTCTCAATTAATTAAATACATTTTTTTTTAATTGGTGAACATTTGGTTCACTGGTGTGCTAGTTTATTTCTAGTCTTTCAGTATAAGATGACCAACTTCCGCTTTTCACATCAAACTCGCGTACGTGTCCGATCGACATTTTTACTGTTTCGATTCACATTATAATAAATCACACGCGGCAAAATGGCCAGCCTCGTTAGCCAATGTAGTGTTTTTGGCGGGAACAGGGGGCCAATCGCCTAACTGGATTGCTTTGGAAAACGCTATCGCTTACGATTTCATTTTGTTATTTCTAGCCCCCTGAGGTTTTCAAATGCCTCGCGCTCTTTTTTTTTCTTTTGCATTGGTAATAACAATGTTAAAGAAAATGAGCGTGAGGTATTTCGGCGGTTAGAAATAACAAAATGAAATCGTAAGCGATAGCGTTTTCCAAAGCAATCTGGTTAGGCGATTGGCCCACTGGTAAGTAAAACAGCACACGTCCAGCGATAGTTAGCTTTTATTAACGACTGCTTTGACATACGAGTAGAAACGCCTATTCCTAAATATTAAGTTCAACTACCTACATTATACTTATCACATAGATAGAATATTAATAATAATCAACAGTACAAATACCTAATAAAAAAACAAAATAATTAAACCTAGTTAATTGAATAGCATAAACTCATTTAATTGGTATTAAAAAAAACGGAGAGCTCGATGGCGCGGGTGGTTAGCGCGTTCGGCTGCAATCGTTGAAGTTAAGCAACTTTCGCAGTGATCAGTCATAGGATGGGTGACCAAAAATGTACTATCTCGAGTTCCTCCATGCTTCGGAAGGCACGTTAAGCCGTTGGTCCCGGCTGCATCTGCAGTCGTTAGCACCCGCCAATCCGCACTGGGCCCGCGTGGTGGGTCATGGCCCTACCTCCCTATTCCATCCATAGAAAAGGCCTGTGTCCCAGCAGTGGGGAAATTAATAGGCTGATGATGATGAATTAAATAAAATAAATGCCAAATTACAATGTCTACAATGTGTTTCAAAAATTAAATTAATTAAATTAAAAATTGATATTTATTACAACAATTACAATATTGGGTTCGTCATCATCGTCATCTCAGCCGTACGACGCCCACTGCTGAGCATAGGCCTCCCCCAAAATATTGTGTTATTAAATTTTACAAGTACAGTTGTTCTATATATATATATATATATATATATATATATAATGCACGAAACTTTATTTATTTATTGACGTTTCGTAGCCTTTACAGGCTTTGTCGTCAGAATAAAACTTTTATTTTAAACGTCAATAAATAAATAAAGTTTCGTGCATTAACCCGTAAAAACTAGTTTTATTTAATGAGTGATGTGCGTGAAAACCTAAGAAACAAATATTATTATTATTAAATAAATAGGACACTCGGACCTTTTTTTTTTTTTTTTTTTTTTTTTGTTGACGGTGGAAAATGCATTTACGCACCATACCGCGCGCTTGCCAGGCGCGCGACGTGTGTGGGACTCCCCGGCGTGGAACGCCGGTCCTACCCACTAAACCACCGGTACCCTCCTCGGCCCTTATGAGGGCGCTCTGGGATCGGTGCACCTACGTGCGCCACTACACCAGAGCGTCCTAGGGCTGGCCCGGCCCAACGAGTGGACCGGGCGACGCGCCTATGGGGGGATTACTCTAGGGTACTAGGTAATCCCCAGACGGGGTGGCCTATGCCGAATGGCACCAAGGACGCGCGGCTGGCATGCCGCGCCCAGTCCACCTTAGGGCCGACGAAGACCGGCGGTCAAAGCCGCCTGTCTTCTTCGGCCCACCCGTCTACGCCGGAGGGGAGCGGCCAGAGCGTCCTCCTCCCGCTCCCTCTCCGCTGCCTCCTTCTGCCAGGACACTCGGACCTACCCCCCACAATTGTTCTAGATGCTACTCGTGTTTGTTATTTGTAATCCTGACGTCAGTCCTATCCTTATAAAGCATGATAAGGACAGAATGTTGTCAAGTTTACAAATACGAATAGCAAAGTGCTGGCATAAAACAGTTATTATTTGTCAATATTATGACTAATGCACATAGTACAATGATGTTTTATAGTTATAGATAAGTCATACGCGCTTCTAATTTGGCAATACGAATGTCAGGTAATTGCCCGACTTGCATTCAGTCGGGCATGCTCTCCAGCCACGGTTACACTTCGCTACAACGTGTAAATATTTTACGTTTTTCCAGACAAGGTACCCTACGATATATATGTCGGAGAGCGACTATTCACGGGCTTAGTGGGCGTCATCGGGGCTTAATACAGGCACAAAACAAAACAATCACTCAATCACTGTTCGTACAATTTTAATTGCGTTCTTTTAACAAAACAATATAAAAATGTTTCACACACACTTTACTTTAATATTTACACTTAAATAACGTTACAACCGAGCAACGGGTTCGAGGTACCAATCTTACTTCACTGAACTACTACCTACTACCTTTCTAGTAATGAACCGCTACGATCAGTTCCTCGCTTTTAAATACGCGCAAAAACTACCTCCCCATTTCTGAAAATCAAGATGGCGCGTCGACCCCACTCGAGGCACGTGCTCTGCTCTGATTGGACGCGACATAAGATGGATTATTTGCAACTTTTATTACATTGCTAAATTACTGAACAATACAAAAACTGTAATTAATTAAATGAAGATGTTCTAAAATTATTTAAAGTGTTAACTTAATAGCGTCTTCGCGATTGGAATTCAACAATCAACTCAACTCGTCATATCCTCCGACATATATGTCGTGTGATGCTCGTGACCCATTTACGTTTCAATTGTTCCATAGGATTTTTCTATTTACACCCCGTCCGATAAGAAGTTTACATCAAAAGCGATTAACTCACCTTATACTCGTCCGTGGAATACAGAATAAGTTTCCTGTTGGCATCGCTCGCTACCAAGTATTTAGAATCGGGGCTGAATTTGACATCTGTCACCGCTCCCAAGTGAGTGAGTTCCACGCTTTGGGTCAGCGTACGGATGTCCAGGGTGTACATGTGGACTTTGTTGTCAGCACCTGGGATATTTGTTTATTAATAAAAATGGTCAAATGAAAATAGCATAAAAACAGCCTAGCCCCAAAGTAATCACTGTAAGGTTTGTGTTAAGGGATGCTAGGGTAACGGATAGAATACATATAGTGTACATATGTAAGTATATTTATTATAGAAATACATGTTAAACATCCATGACTGGAATTCAAATACTCGTATTCATCACACAAACATCTGGCTCTACCAGGATTCGAACCCGGGACCTCTCGATTCGGCGACACCATGTGACCCGGCGTACAAACCACTCGGCCACAGAGGTTGTCAAATTTAAGCACTTCACTGCTAGATGTTCAAATCTAAATTTAAAAAAGAGTTTTCCTAATATTTTATGGATTTTGTGATAGACAATCGGGCAAGGTCAATTGAGTCAGATTATCCCCAATATTTTAAGGATTTTGTGACAGTTGTATTTAAAAAAGACTTTATTGTCAGCGCCTGGTACATTTATATAAATTGATTGAGAATTGAGAAAGTTTTTTTTCGTCATTTGAATATTTGCAATAGATTAGTTCTTTCTATAACTAAAATATTGAGCCTAATAGTTATTAATGATATTACTGCGGTAAGTTGGTTATTACAAACGTGTAGACGAATGTTTGTAAATAACAATTCCGCACGAATGTCATACGTTTTCCAACACATTTGGGAGAAAACCGTACCTGTATCTAATTTCAGTTATGAAGCAAACTTTATCTAATAAGAAAGATAAGGGTGGTGAAAGTAAGAACTTTAGTAGATCTTTAGTATCAAAATTATCTGTCTTATTCCAATATATAGTATATAATGTATATATATATAATTGATATAGATAAAAATCGCTTCCAAAGAGGTTCGAGCGAAATTTTAAATATAACCGTAATGAATACGCACGGGGCGCCATGTAAGGGAGCGTGCGGTAAAATGTTTTATCGCACGCTCGTAATTTTGAATTTTCGAACAATGTATACAATCTCCGTAAATGCATTATTTGATCAAATGTATTGAAAAGTATATAATGGATCAACTAGACATCGGTAACCGCTCCCAAGTGAGTTCCACATTCTGAGTCAGTGTACGTATGTCTAGTCTCCGAAGCATGAGTACCACAATTTGCATTATATCACTTTTTTATCGTGTCTCACCATCAAACTGCATAGTAATGTGACAATCGAGTGTAATAAAAACGCGGTATATATCATACCGCGGTACTCATGCAAGGGGAGCAAGGTGTTTACGTGAACTTTATTGTCCGCATCTGGCATTTTGTTTAATCAAGAAATTAATCAGCGAAAAGTGCGAAATATCTGTGGGAAATTGAGAACATTTAAAGGTACACGGGGGCAATCCCGTTCTCTGTTGTAATAAATTTTATTTTGTAATTATACTCACCGCCTACAGCAACGTGCCTAGATTTGGGGTCTATTGCGACGCACGTAGGCTCAAAGTTGAGTGGCATGGTTGACTGCTTGCTTGTGCCTATGATCACTGCCAACTAAAACAACAACGAGAAGTTAGAAACAGAATATTGTATTTTTTATAGAAGTTTATTATGCGACGAGCTCAAATTGCACCGACTTCGAGAGCAATCACTTTGCTTAATTATCCTATCATGTATAGTGATACATGACAGGATCCCGGAGGCTGTCATATTATTTTAAAAAATATGTATAATTTTTATTATTAACAATGTGTGTTGTTAATCTCATGTTTAAATTGTACGCATACCACTTATTAATCAACTTGGAATTAGCTTTGTTGAATGACAAATGTCATTTGAATGATATGAACCAAACACAGCGTAACTAGTCAAGGCTTATGCCTCGTTTATTAATAATGGGGATAGTGTTTAGCTGTTACATTTTTTTTACCAGTGTACGTGTACGTAGTGGCTTGAAGGTCCCATTTTTAGGTTTTTCGCATATATCTCGAAAACTATGGCTCCCGCAAGCCTTACGAGCCCCAGCAGTGGCTGCCCACTGAGGACCCCGTAACCCTTACGGGCGCTTTACGGCATAATATCCGCTAAAAAACCCTGCGAACACCCTCTAAGCTGCTTAGTGCGAAGCCGCGGAATCCCCGTTTAGGGATTCTTCCGCGTCTCCGCACCTAGCAGCCTCCCGGCCTTGCCGAGGTTCCGCGGCAGGGGTCTCCCGGGGTATCGCGAGGACCCCACAGACGTGCGCAGGACGGCCCGCGCGTGGGGGCTGAGTACGCGGCCTAGTGCCCACCGTACCGCCCCCATACGTCTACTACACTAACAATTTTGTCCTTAAATAAAAAAAAAGGCAATTGTTTCTATTATTGAAGATAATTTAATGCTCTACAACCCTACGGCCGGCATTTATTTTTTGGGTGCATTGTTGAAGAGTTATCCGGTCAAATAGAGCAAAAATGGGAACAATTTTTTTTTCCATAATTACAGACTTTCAAGAGCGGATATCTCGAAAACTATACAAGATATCAAAAAATTTGACTGAATAAGACTTGTAGCAAATTTAATCAGCTTTCACTTTTGTGAAAGTCTCATGTTGCTAGGATGCATAGTTTTCGAGATATATGCGAAAAACCTAATAATGGGACCTTCAAGCCCCCCCCCCCCCCCCCCCCCCCTCCCCCCGGCTTAAGGGCTACGGGCGGGGACTTTTGATATGTTTACCTCCTAACTAGTCCTAACAAAGTCACGAAGTCAAAAATTGTGTTCTAAGCAATTCCCTCTATACCTTTTCGTTGCCTGGACTATAGCGTATCATGCGAATGTAGCATCTACGTTACGGTATGGAGTAATATTTTGGGGAAACTCAGTTGACAAAGAATATGCATTTAAAGTTCAAAAAAAATGTATAAGGGCTATTTGTAAAATTAAGCAAATTGACAGTTGTAAACCACATTTTATATCATTAAAACTTTTGACATTGCCGTGTATTTACATATATGAAATTGCTGTTTTTGTTAGAGCCAATTTACACTTATATGTTACTTTTAATAGTAGAAGATTCGAAACCAGACTTTGTTTACCATCTAACAAGACATGGCTTATGAATAATAGTGTACTTTGTATGGCACCTCAGGTATATAATAAAATTCCAATTGAAATTAGAAAAGCTGAAAGCCCCAATATATTTCGTTCTGAATTAAAGAATATGTTACTTAAAAAAGCATATTATAGTATTAACGAATTCTTAGAGGACAAATCTGTGTAAATGGATGTACACTATGTGTTTATTTTAATTTGCATGCCTTGTGGTGAAATATGGAATAAGCGTATTATAATTTAACACCTTTGTATCACCTGTATTTGCAAATAAATAATTGATTGATTGATTGATTGATGAAAATGTATGGAAGGAAAATGTGCCCGCGCACTGCTTTCTTATATCCCTCACTCAACTACTGTTCGCCTCCCCCGAACACACTTTTCGTAACGAGTAACGCATTCGCCAGCATACCCCCCAAGTCAAGCGTGCCTATATAAGTTTCACTTCAATAATATCGTTAGACGTTAATCCGATAGGGGCGCTACTTAGTTTTCATAGAAACGTTGACGATGCGATTCGTTACGGAGCTACCAAAAATTCGTTGGGTTGGGTCCTTGGGCCTTATACAGAATTTTTCAGACACTTTCTGCTATCCGGCGAACTAAATGGGAAAAGTTTCTATTTTCTAAATTTAAAATACACAAGCCGGTATTTTAACCCAAAAAAAAGCAACCTGTCATTACTTGTGTCTCCAAGCGGGAATGGAGGGACACATTATTTGGCCGGAAAGTACTAGTCTGAGAATAAATATCCACTTTATAGAAGACCAAAGTGAAACAACAAAACGTCATGCTGGTGTCGTTTATCTGTGAATTAATAAGCATCCACTAAAGATAAATCTAACTGAATAATAGGGCTGTGTTGCAGCATTAGGATCATTAATACGTTTATGGACATAGATATAGTACGACACGCACAAGATAATGACAACCGAAATGAAATGAAACAGAAAGAGCGATGATGCAGCCTATAGAATAGACGAATAATCTAAAACAAATGTTATTATATTCATCATAGTCCGATGGTGATGATGGTAATAAAGATGAATATGGCATAACTCGTGTCATTAAAGTAACAAATCGAGAAAAACAATGTAAGACATTCTGTCCCTCTCGCACATGCTAATCCTAAGTAACGTGCGAGAGAGACAGATTTAATTGGCATGGGAATTTTACAATTCCTTGTTTTATTTACACGATTTGGTAATTAATGATTATGGCGATGATTATGGTTTAATGAATATGATGATTATGATTTTATTTATTTTTTAAGCATTTAACTGCTAGATGTTTAAATCTAAAGAAAAGTTTACTAGAAAAAAATCCACGCGGACCAGGCAGCGGACGGGACTATGATGATTATAAATAGGCCTTACCTCTTTGACCGTAGCTACGATTGTGGTGTCGTCTTCAATCAAATGGTCCATCGCACGCGGTTGGGAACCCAGGGGAATAGCAACGTCCGTATAAATTGGCACACCACCTGTTTTTTTTATATAAAAAAATAATAATATTTTACTCACAAGACCCAACATTTTACATAGGTAAGTTTAAGGCTAATGCGCTATTTGACAGTATGGAAAATAATGTACCAATAGAGTATTTGACAGTATTAAACATAAAGTGCCAATTGTTAGCATCTGTATTTAGAATGAATATTGGCAGGAGTTTTACTATTTTTACAGAAAAAAATATTCATAATTTGAATACACCAGTGAGACGCCAATTGTCCAGAGATTTTTGCGTTTTCGCGGCAACTTGAAAAAAGAGTTTTTGATTTAGTTTTTTTTACCGAAATACACAATTTAATGATGAATAGGGGCTGTTCAAGTATTACGTAAGCACTATAGGGGGGCAGGGGGAAGCAAAGATGCTTTGCTTATTTTTGATGACATGGGGGGGGTGGGGGTTTAGAGATGGTGATTACGTCAGCATCGTCGATTAAGCCTTTTTAAGTACTGCTGCTCATAAAGCTCATGAAAGCTCATAAATCAATAAAAAAAAACAGAATACATTAAAGGAAAAATGCATATAGGTACCAATATTTACGTAAGGTTTTTTTGTATTTAGATTTTTAAAATTTTTATTGAGCTTTTTTGGCATGGTTTTTAATTTATAAATTCATTAATTTAAACACTGTTTCAGGTGGTTTTGATTTAAAATTATTTGATATTCAAATTCAACGGGTCCGAAACCTCCGGACTGTAAAAAAAAAGTAGTTTGACCAGATGTGTAACTACACCGTTTTGTTCGCCAGCTCCTCGAATATTAGCAGCCATTTTACTATTCCGAAAGAACAAATAAATAATAACTTATCTATAAAATCATTAAATAGTAATGAATTTCCTCCATAGCTGCGTGACCGAAAACGCCTGGGATTGGCCAAGACTAAAATGACGTCACACGCTAGTATACTTCCAGACAAAGTGACATAACATTGTATCGTTTGACGTTTTAACGACATTCTTGTGACGTCACATACTAGTGAGACACCATAATGTTCAGTAAAAGCGTTCTCGCGTCAGCTTGAAAAAGTTTTTTTACTGAATTACACAACCGAATTAAAAAAAAATCACTTTTTATAGGCATATATTTATGGTGTTACCCGTGGTTTATTAGGGATATTTTCCCGCAGTAAAACGTAGCCTACATTTTAATCCAGGGTGTCAGCTAACTCCATACCAAAATTTATTAAAATTGCTCCAGCCGTTTTGACGTGAAGAAGTAACAAACATAAACACTCCCAAACTTTCGCCTTTATAATATTAGTGTCATTATATATTACCTTCGTCCGCAGGCGCAGCGCGACGCAAAGTATCGTCTATTCCGCAGCTGAGTAAAGCCCCGTCTTTACTGGCCCTCATTCCATTCACTTGGTTACCGTGACCTTGGCCCGTGATGTGTTGACCTTCACCTATCAACAAAAAGAACCAATATAATGCAGAGAAATATATTTTATAATGAAAACGAATTTATTTTAAGGAGACAACTTATAACTTTCTAGACTCTTGGTATAGACAAGAAGGAAACGAAAGTTGTTACAATCGTCAAAGACTTATAATTTAATGATACCCTCCGTGGCCGAGTGGTTTATACGCCGGGATTCATGGCATCGCCGACTCGACAGGTCCCGGGTTCGAATCCCGGTGGGGGCAGATGTTTGTGTGATGAATACGAGCATTTGTACTCCAGTCATGGATGTTTAATATGTATTTCATATAAATATACTCATATATGTACAATATATGTATTCTATCCCTTACCCTAGTATCCCATAACACAAACCTTACAGTGCTTACTTTGGGGCTAGGCTAATTGGTGTGAGCGTTAGAAATATTTATTTATTATTATTAATGTTGCAATTACAGAAAATGGTTTATGTTAACGTATATAAATCCCGCTAATCACAAAAAACACTGTAATATTACTGAGCATGAGAGTTTAAAACAATAGTACATTATGATATAAGTGCGGTAAGTTGAGAATTACAGCCGAGGCGATATTGTTAGCCCGAGCCGTAGGTGAGGGCTATAAGAAGGCAGAGGCTGTAATTATCAAACCGCACGTATGTCATACGACGTTTTATAACACATTTGCAAAGAAATAATACTACCTACGTACGTACTTTCTGAAAATGAATTTGCACCTTTGTTTATTTTCCATAAGATGAAATTTTGATACGCTTGACTGTAAGTACCTATACGTGGATTTTTCGGGCAAGAGGCTTAGCGTAGCCTTTTTCGACTTCTGGCGGTGTCAAATTAATAAATTCAATCAAAATACAGCGAAAAAAAAAGAATTAACTTTTTCACAGATTATCGATGCGCGCTCATCAACGCAAATTTTTTAGGCAAAGGAACAAAAAACATCCAGTGTTACTAATAAAGAAAATTAATATTTTTGTGAATTTGTTACCGATACATGGTTGTAATTTATTGTCAAAATGAATCAAATTAAAGAATTAAATGTTTTTAAATTATATTTTATCTCCCAAAGTTAATTTTATTAAGAAAATGTTGGCTACCTGTCTGACATAAAAACTCTTTGCTAGGATTTAAAAAAGTATCGTTCGTTTTTAGACGGAACATAATAAGCCGTGCGTTTTACTTTACATTACCGCACGCGTGTGTAATGTGATAGATTATGGTATTGAAATTGGTGCAATAAGAGACGCTTTACGTGCAAATGTGTTATAATAGTTATTTATGATGTTAGTGCGGTAAGTTGCTTAATGTAAAGGCTACACATGGCGCCATGTATGGGAGCGTGCGGTAAAACGTTTTACCAAACGCTCCGTTGTATGGCCCATAATTTTAAACTTTCGAATGTATATACCTCCGTCAATACATTTTATGAGCAAATGTGTTGAAAAATAATTGAAATACCTGTTTCAACATCCCAACAAGTGACGCATCCATCATGGCTAGCCGTATAAACAGCCTTTCTGTCCGGTCTCAAGGCTAAACATGTCACCGGCTTATTATGACCCATCAACACCTGTCTGGGCTTGTCCGGATTGTCTACGTCCAGGTAGTTTATCACCCCGGACAGAGACACCGAGAGAAGGTTGTTGCCTTGCCATAGACAAGATACCTGGGAACAAGGATATTTATAAGGTAAAAATAAATAAATACATGTTTGAGCAATACTGTATGAGATGAGTAGTTTTGGAAAGTATGATCTAAATATATGTTTCAATGTGAACACAAAATAAGTAAATAATAGGTACTTCTTTTGGCGAGATGGTCACATTTAAGGTTATACGCTGATGTCAAATTTAGTTTTAAGTTTAGAGAATCATGCCAGAACCTACACCAATATTTGTAAATATCCTTTGTCCATGCAATTTTTGTACCCTGAAAGTAGTTCTAACATTGAGATATACTATTTAAAATTAATCTGTGAGTGCAAAATCTTTGAATAACACTAGAATCACACTAATATTATAAAGGCGAAAGTTTGTGTGTATGTTTGTTACTTCTTCACGTCTAAACGGCTGGAGCGATTTTAATAAAATTTGGTATGGAGTTAGCTGACACCCTGGATTAACACATAGGCTACGTTTTACTGCGCGAAAATATCCTCAATAAGTAGTCTGGTCGCTGCAAAATTTCACAGAACACTACATTACCTGTTGGTTCTCCACGTTGCTCCCCATATTGAATAAAGTGACCCTTTCCATGGTGGAAACGTCCCATATAGCACAGGTCTTGTCCCCAGAGCAGGACAACAGCTGTTTGCCATCTGGAGACCAGGAGATACCGTAAACACCACCCTTGTGGGCCGGGGAGCCGATCTACAAAAAACAATAACACAATTTTTCTATGACCCAACTTATAGGCTTACTTGTTGCAATTTTGCTGCATCTCGATTCAACTAAAACTAGATTTAAACCATAGGAAAGTGTCTAAACGTCAATATCAATTTGACATTATTGTATGGACTATATCCAATTATAGTAAAATTGAGTTTTAGCAAAATTGTTGCTAAGGCACCTTAAAAAGGTAGAGGGAAACAAAAATTGTTTCAAATTTCATGCCCTATGACACATTTTATTCTTATAACAGGTGTCGTTGAAGGTCATAAAAAACGTTTTTTCGCTATTGTTTGTGTCTAATGCTGCAATGATGTTAAAAGTTATTATCAAAGTTGTAGACCATAAAATTTGCAACACGTTTCGTTGTAAAAATGTTTTCATACACTCAATCGTTTTTAGATAGAGGGCGACGCTCACCCATTACTCACTCTACATAGTATAAAAGTCGAAAAAGTTGCTCCCGCTGTCTGTACGCTTAGACCTATTATATCACGCAAAAGATTTTAATGCAAATATAAGCAATAATCAAACTGATTCAAGAGGAAGGTTTATCTATACTAATATTACAATATAAAGAAAAGATTTACTTGAAAAAAATCCACGCGGACCAGGCAGCGGACGGGACTTGAACTTTTTTTTTCTAGTAAAACTTCAGAGATGGCGCTGCCTTGCAGCTTAAGGCTAGGAAAAATTTCGACGCGGACATCAGGGCCGTGGTAGCATAATTGGTCAGTGCATTCGCCCGGATTGCGAAGGGTGCGGGTTCGAGTCCCGTCCTGGTTGGCGTCGATTTTTTTTAGTAAAACTTTTCTTTAGATTTAAACATCTAGCAGTTAAATGCTTAAAAAATTAAATAAAAAATAATATTATAATATTAGTATAAATGCGAAAGCGTGTCTGCTTGTCTGTCTGTTAACTCTTCGCGCTTAAACTGTTGAACCGATTATAATGGAATTTGGTAGAGATAGTTTGAGTCCCGGAGAAGGGCATAGGATAGTTTTTGTCCAGGAAATCATCCTTAAAGGGTGTGAAAAGGGGGTTGAAAGTTTGTACGGGATACCAATTCTTCCAGGCAAACAAATTTAGTTATTTATAATTTTAAAAGGGCTTCATTGTTTACCTCTCCGTCTTCGGCGCCGTCGAAAAAGAATATCTTGCCATCGAAGCCGGCCGACACGATCAAAATGGCTAAATTAACGGATGTGTTCCTAGAGAAATACCAGGACAGCAACAATACCTCTCCCTTGAGCTCGGGGGTGGCGCCGTCGAACAGGAATATCTTGCCATCGAAGCCGGCGGACGCAAACAGGGACCGCTTGAGCGATCGAAATGGCTAAATTAACGGGTGTATTCCTAGAAATATCTTGCCATCGAAGCCGGCCGACACAATCAAAATGGCTAAATTAACGGATGTGTTCCTAGAGAAATACCAGGACAGCAACAATACCTCTCCCTTGAGCTCGGAGGTGGCGCCGTCGAACAGGAATATCTTGCCGTCGAAGCCGGCCGACGCGAATAAGCTGCCGTCCGGGCTGTAGCGGACCGCTTGAGCGAAACGGGTGTGCTCCTAAAACAATACCAATGCTTTGTTACCAATACTTTGAGACCTAATGAATCATCATCGGCCTATTAATGTCCCCACTGCTGGAGCACAGGCCTTCCCTATGGATGGAATAGGGAGATTGGGCCATGACCCACCACGCGGGCCCAGTGCCGATTGGCGGGTGCTAACGACTGCAGATGCAACTAGGACCAACGGCTTAACGTGCCTTCCGAAGCACGGAGGAACTCGAGATAGAAAAATGTTGGTCACCCATCCAATGCAATGCAACTTTCGCAGTGGTCGGTACTGCGAAAGTTGCTTAACTACAACGATCGCAGCCGAACGCGCTAACCACCTGCGCCATCGAGCTCCTCTATGCGCCATCGACCTAATGAAAGCAAATGCCAGAAGTTAATTTTAGAATAGTTAATTTTAGGTAAGGTTCGAAGGCTTTACGGGGTAAAGGGTTTTCGCTCGTTTTTCTCCGCAGCTAAAAAATATGTCCACATCGAGTGGCAGGGAAAAATAAAAATTTGGACGATTCAAAAGAGTTGTACTATACATCCAATTTGAATAAAGATATATTGATTTCTGCTTGAGTCAGGGTAAGAAACGGAGTGAGTGATAGCTTTGTTACCGCAAGTGTCTATAAGCTATGGGGGCTTGCTATCAGCAAATGCATATGCATGTTGACAATTTAAACCCATCCTCACGATTGAAATTCTTGTGTTTGGTTATTTCAATCGCTTCCCTGACCAATCTTGATATGAAGTGGCGTTCTGTCGAGATAATTTGTGGATTATGGAGCTCAATCCAGTGATTAGGACCCGAATCAATTAAATGTTCCGCGATGGCCGATTTTTGCGTATCATTATTTCTGACTGCTTTTATATATTTCTTTCGTTCGGCACGCTATTGTCCACTTCGTTTGCCCAATATACATACAAATATATTAATAGCTATAATGTTAGTGACCACAACAGTTTAAAACAATTTATTCTTGTTGTTTGCATGTCGACTGTTCTTTGCGGACTACATTTTTCCTTATCTTTCGGTCTTGATCACCATACCTGTTGACGATGGATCCAGCGCGAAGGACCAAGATGTCGAGGAACTTTATGCTGAAGGTGATGAAGCTCAGTCCTCTGATGCCTGGTGTGGAATGTATAAGGATACTTCAATTCAAAAGCTGTTTGTTGCTTTCCTACGTTGGATTTCTTTATTCTTGCTGCTCACGTGTTGACTGTTTCTGGCAGACTACAATTTTACTTACAAATACAGCAGCTTAGAGGAGCTCGATGGCGCAGGTGGTTAGCGCGTTCGGCTGCGATGGTTGAAGTTAAGCAACTTTCGCAGTGGTCGGTCATTGGATGAGTGACCAAAAACTTCTATCTCGAGTTCCTCCGTGCTTCGGAAGGCACGTTAAGCCGTTGCTCCCGGCTGCATCTGCAGTCGTTAGCACCCGCCAATCCGCACTGGGCCCGCGTGGCGGGTCATGGCCCAATCTCCCTATTCCATCCATAGGGAAGGCCTGTGCCCCAGCAGTGGGGACATTAATAGGTTGATGATGATGATGACAGCAGCTTGTATTTCGGTCTTAATCACCACACCTACCTGTTTGGTACACTTGAACTTGAACGGAGGTCCCTCGAACACTGCGATAGTGTTATCTTCAGAAGCGGTGACGATGCGGAAAGGCCGCGCCGGTCTGAAGTCCACGGAGTTGATGGGCTTGGATTGGCCACTAATCTCACCGACCGATGTGCCGGTCTCAGACATGAACACATGACCGAATCTGGAAGGAGGAAACAATTTTCAAAGAAAAATCATCCATGTATCACGGGGTATCCATATTTTTTTGGCGCAGAGAAGCTCGATGGCGCAAATAGTTAGCGCGTTCGGCTGCGTTCGTTGAAGTTAAGCAACTTTGGCAGTGGTCGGTCATTGGATGGGTGACCGAAAAATTTACTATCTCGAGCTCCTCCGTGCTTCGGAAGGCACGTTAAGCCGTTGGTCTCAGTTGCATCTGCAGTCGTTAGCACCCACCGATCCCCACTGGGCCCGCGTGGTGGGTCATGGCCGAATCTCCCTATTCCATCCATAGGAAAGGCCTGTGCTCTAGCAGTGGGGACATTAATAGGCTGATGATAATGATGATATGACCCGTCTGGTGGTAACAGACACCATAGAATAAAGACGCATGCGATATCAAAAAAAATACTCGCGCCGTTACCTTCCTTGACCCAATCACCTACCACGTGGAGCGCCCTGAAGATTTAATTTATAATAACAACGTTAACACGTTGCTCAAAAACGGAGCCAGTTTATCCTTACATTTTATTGGAGATGAATTATAGATACTGGTCGTTAGGTCACGCTTGCAGCGGCAAGGTCATGGCTGACCCGTTACTCTTTTAAATAGGCCTCAACTTATTTACCTTTAAGCTTTACCTATTATCATTACTTTTTCGGTAAGGCGTTAAAATTGTGCCCTTTGTAAAATGAACATGGCAATGGCGTCATCAATCACACACCATACCTCTCCTATATCCTTTTTTTTCGCCACCTAGGAGTGGCAACGGGGTTATGTGGGACTCCTCCCGTCCCGTCCCGCCTGCTCAGCCAGTCCTGGCACTAGCTGAGCGACCGCTCAGACCCACTAATATCCTGGCTATCCCCCTCATCTCACTCGGTCCACGGTCCCAACCAACGTGGCTATATCCTAGAGGGTCATTCATTTATTACGTAAGACGAGTTAGTGGGGGAAGAGGGGTCAGTTATTGTCGGGGGGTATTTTAACCGTTACCCTAGTATCGCCTTACAGTGCTAACCCCAAAGGTTAGGCTATTTGTTGTGTGTGTTAGAAATATTTATTACAGTGAAACCTGGTAAGTGGGACCTGGATAAGTGAGAAACCTCTATTATTGAGAGTTGCAATGAGGTCCCGGTTCTTTTTCATTAAATTACCTCTGTTAATGGGACTTTTTGAACCTGGTTAAATGAGATTTGAATTCTAAGACTCTTTCGATGTTTACCTCTATAATTGAGACTCTGTAGCTCAATTACCTGTATAAGTGAGACTAATTAATCAGGTTGTAACAAGGTTGTAACACGTTTTGACATGTTTGTTTACATACATTTCGCGTCGTATTTTGCGCATGCTTTGTTTGTCAGTACTCTAAAAATGGAATAAAGGCACATTTCGACCTCTGTAAGCGGGGGCCTCTGTAAATGAGACAACTATAATTTTAAACCTGTTTAATTGGAAAACTGGATTATTGGATACTCTCAATAATTGGTACATATATCTTGGTCCCTGGAAATCCCAATTAACCAGGTTTCACTGTATATTATTTATTTATTTATACCTCTCTCTGCCTTCACCGGCAACGACCATCCGCTGGTTGTCGGCACTCCAGGCGATGTCCTTGATGGGTCCACCGATTGGCTGGAACTCATTCTTCAAGATGTGCTCCTTGTTAACAGTGTCCCAAATACGTACTTTGCCCGAAGCGTCTGGAATAAGAGAAACGTTAATTAGCACACATCATCATTATCAGCCTTTTTGAAGTGAAAAATTCTTAAGCGGCGTTGTACACTTTTTTTTGTATGGGTAAAAAATGTTAAACCAGCGTCAGGTTAAACACGTGGGCTGATCGCATCATGAATGACACACAATAAAATTGGAAAGGTTGTTGACTTTCAATATATTGGACGAAACATAGTAATATTTTATTTTACCGTATTATAATAATAAGTCTCTATCTAGGACGTCCACGTGGCAGCTTTATTGGGAAGAAAATGCATTTTTTTTTACAATAGATGTCGCTAGGTGCGCTTAAATGAGATTCATGTAAGTTGATTTCTTTGCAATAGATGTCGCTAAGTGCGCTTAAATGTGATTCATGTAAGTTGATTTTTCTGAGAGATAAACTTTTTTAATGTAATATAAATTGTCATGTTTGTATTCGATAGCGCAACAAATAAATATTGTATACATGACATACATGATAGTACTTTTATACTGACAATTAAAGAAATTCGTGCAAAATTATTCCCTAACCATTCCTAAATATCAAAAATGCACAACGTTAATATTCAAGTTTTCACTTCTGCCGGCACTCCCGGAGTGCAACCCGTCGTTTTATTTTTGTCTGGGAAATGTCTTACGCTTCCTTCAACCACCGAGGTAGCGAGAAGAAGGTATGTGGGACTCTCAGAGACGTATCATATACCTTAGGGCCTAGGGTCAAGAGGACCATGGTCAGGGCGGTAAGCTACCAAGGGTGACGAAAGGCATAATTTTGGCTGCTTCTTATAGATTAAGAAAAAAGTGGTCGGCTAACTTAAAGCAAAGAGGCGCGGGCGAGAAATTTTAAAATACCCCGCTGTCAGCCAACCAAGATCACCAAACCTCGAGCGCATAGATTACCTAGTGACATTTATGGTAAGAGTACTTCCTAACGATGGCTTGTCATGCCTGTTAAAGCCCATAGCCAGAGAAAACAGATTTTGGTCACCCATCCGATGTATAGGATATTGCAAAAGTTGCTTCCACCATTACAGATCACACGTTCCAGCCACTACGAAATCGAGCTTACCATTGTCATCACACTAATCACACTAATATTATAAAATCGAAAGTTTGTGAGTGTGTATGTTTGTTACTTCTTCACGTCTAAACGGCTGGAGAGATTTGAATAAAATTTGGTATGGACTTAGCTGACACCCTGGATTAATACGTAGGCTACATTTTACTGTGGAAAATATCCCTAATAAACACCGCGTGACACAGCTAATACACAATATGTTTAAACTTATTTAGTTACATACAATAATGTTGAAATGAAAAAGCTTGTCCGAGTGTACCTATTTACTTGATATGTAATAACATATCGCATTATTCGAGTGTCGTGAAACATCTGTGGTCCCGTGAAAAACTTAATGGTAACTGTGAAAAACTTACAGTCACACTCAAAGACGTCAATTAATTTTTAAGTTGATGCTGTCTGTCCCTTTAGAATAAAACAGCACATACAAATGACTTGACAAATGTATATAACCTTACCCCTCGTTTACACCAAGAAACAGGTCATATACTAGTTTTACACAAAACTTGTAGAATACTTGTTGTGACATTCTTTCGTTCACGTTAGACAACGAGTATATTTACAAATATATGTCACTATTTACTTCACATATTTTGTGTGGCCAACAAATATTGTATACAACATGTTTTATAACGACCACCGTGGCCGGATTTCGTGGTGTCGCCTACTCGAGCGGTTCTGGGTTCGAATCCCGGGGGCAGATGTTTGTGTGATGAATACGAAAATTTGTACTAAAGTCATGGATGTATTATATGTATTTCAATATAAATATACTTATATATGTATTCTATCCGTTACCCTAGTATCCCATAACACAAGCCTTACAGTGCTTACTTTGGGGCTAGGCTAATTGGTGTGAGTGTTGGAAATATTTCTTTATTATTTATTTATACATTTATATGTATAAAAAATGAAGACATTTTATAAAACTTGGTGAAAACGAGGAGATAGAAAACGGTTAAGTATTACTTTCGAATTAATTAATTAAATTATTCGTATATAATGTCCGAGAATCGAATCCGTTATATCCCGACACACAACACAAGAGCGAATTTAAGATAGTGTTAGCATTCCGTTTTATCAGTTGGCATGCCTCCAAGCAACGAAATTATTATAACGCCAAGTTATTCATAGGCCGAACAGGAACATACTTTGAATTCTGGAACAATTTAACTTGTCTCATGCTGGAGTGTGAGAATGGAGGAGCTTGATGGCGCAAATAGTGGGCTCGTTCGGCTACGATCGTTAAATTTAGCAACTTTCGCAGTGGTCTGTCATTGGATGGGTGACCAAAAATTTACTATCTCGAGCTCATCCATGCTTCGGAAGGCACGTTTAGCTGTTGGTCCCGGCTGCATTTACAGTCAGCACCCACCTATTCGTACTGGGCTAGCGTGGCCTAATCTCCCTATTCCATCCATAGAGAAGACCTGTGCCCCAGCAGTGAGGACATTCATAGACTGATGATGATGCTGGAGTGGGAACAACGAGGAGAATAATAGAACGCGCCTGGCTTTAAGTAAAGTACAGTTAGAAAGAAGAAAGGTAGAAAGAAAAAGCTTTTATTTGCCTTACACAAACGTAGTAAAAAAAACAATAAATATAGCAATAACAATAAAAAAATATCAATCAGAGAGCAACAATATGGGGAGAGAGAAAAGGCCAATCAGAACCGTGCCTCAGCTTAATGCTGTTATAGTAGGAGAATAATCCCACCATAACAGCGCTGGTATTATTGTCAGTTAAGTTTAGGACGATGGACAACGTGAACTTAACAGACCAACAAGAGTAATTGTGGCTTGGCTTCCTTAGGCTAATATAAATCGTCATTTAACCATAAGACGGACGGCTACTGCTGATCATATGGGGAGGCCAAAGATATCCACGAATCTGATCTCAAATCAGATTGAATTTGATTTAAACTTTAAAGGCTCTTGTTTATCACCAGTCCGTTGCAAGACTCTATGAAAATATTCTTTTTTACCATCGATATCGGCGCGAAAAAATTTCTAACCTAGCATATCCAAATGGCGCCAACAGGACCTTGTTAAAAATCCAGCACTGTCCGTCCATCTTCCTGGCAGCATCGTTCATCTCATGAACGACAGAACGAAAATATCCACAATAATAGATTAACCACTGTTTGTTTATATGTGATCGTATCGACTGTGGTATCGGACCACAGTTCTTTGTTTTCTAGAGTTTTTATCATCCATAAGGATTTTTCGTGTAAAGTATACGCAGACGATTTCGCTGTGTAAGCTTGGCAATGAAAAAAGGCAAGGAGGTAATGCTTGGCCGATTTCCCATAGTAGAAGACACTATTTATTTCAATATCGCGAAAGAGATATCACCAGTACCTCCGTCACACACCCACACCATCATTACTCAATGGTTTATTAAAAAGATTTTAAGAACTCGTATTTAAGTGTCGAACTACACACAGCGTATTTTACGCGACGCATCTTGCGTAGCAATTGTGTGTCATTTTAGATTTACTTGCGCGTTACTAGCGCTTGATGTCACCATCATCATCAGCCTATTAATGTCCCCAGCGCTGGGCCACAGACCTTCAATATGGATGAAAAAGATTTGACTATGATGACCCAACACGAGCTGAGTGGAGGTTGATGTGTGCTAAGCTAACAACATGGACCAAACGGTTTAAAATGCCTTCCGAAGCACGTAGGAGCTCGAAATAAGACATTTTTGGTCCGATGACCTATCAATGCGAAAGTTACTTAACATCCACGTTGACCGAGCAAGCTACGTACTTGCACCATTGAGCTCGTCAATGATGTGAACGGTGTGTATCAATTCTTTGTTTTTTGAAACACAATGGAGGCGTGCAACTTGCATGTGGTTCGAAAAGAGTTTACAGAAATTCTATGCGACAAAATAAAGGCGCGTACGACACAAGATGCGTCGCGCAAGATACACCGTGTGTGGTTCAACATTACGTATGACGGTTAGCTAAAGCCGAGTTTATTCTGGACTGTTTCCGCACGACTAGTAGTTGGCAGGGCGCCAGCTCGCATTATACAATTTCTAATAACATCAAAATAGATTCGCTTAATATTTAGAAAGGCGTTAATGATCACTGTTTAGAACCTTAAACGGTGACACGCCGTATGCCTATATTTGTATTTGCCTGTTTGCCTATAAGTGATGTTTGACAAGTAATCGCAAAGTGTGGTGGTTAGTTTAATTTACAAAACATTGGACTGTGTTTGCTTAATTGAAAATTAACTAGAACCACTGATCGTCATTTCAATGAAATGTACTGTACCTACTGTTATTTAATATTTGGCGCCATGTGTGTTTATGGTACTGTCGTATATTTTCCAATGGTTTGTTCAGCATTTTTATTTTGCCAAATAAAATTAACACAACTATGAACACACCGAATAACCATATAAGGTGCCACCGCAACCTAGAATATGCCATGCGAAGTTTGTACAGAAGCGAAAAAAAAACCATAAATCTACATTACATCCTTTACATTATCACATACAATATTTTTGCATAAATATCCGATAAAACCGGTTGTACCGTCCGGATTTAGCGGTTGTACAGCGTGGTGACCATTAGTTATGCCACGGGGTTATCGTGCGGGACGAGATTTCCGCTCTGATGCGTAGACGCGCTTTCCTGGTACGCAAATATTGTGTGAACATGAAAACACCTACGCTAAAACTAATCTCTTTTGAGTAACACTAAAATTACAGTGCTCATGTAAACATTATAAATAAGTATTTTCCATATTCACACCAATTAGCCTAGCCCCAAAGTAAGCACTCTAAGGCTTGTGTTATGGGATGCTAGGGTAACGGATAGAATACATATTATGATACATTTATAAATATATTTTATCTAGAAATATGTATAAACATCCACGGCTAAAGTACAAATGCTCGTATTCATCATACTGACATTTGTCCTCCCTGGGACTCGAATCCGGGGCCTCTGAGTAGGCGACGCCATGAAACCCGGCGTATGTACCACTCGGCCAAGGAGGACGATGGAAAGAAAATTCCCGTATAGATTTATATATTGGAAAGTGACTTTGTTTGTTTGCTTATTTGTTTGTTTGTTTCGCTTGTACGCCTAAACCACTGAATGGATATAGTTTATAATCTGGATTCAGACATAGGATACTTTTTATCCCTGAAGTTGGCGCGAGTTAGCGCGGACGAAGCCGCCGGCGACCGGTAGTTGTACATAAGGAAGGCGTTAAAAAATATTTACCCAATAAGGTAACAAAAATGTCACAATACCTAGTTTTTTCTATCTGTGACGTCATTTTCCCACTCGCGTCATTATTTACTATACGTAAATGAATCATACATATATATTTCTTATGTTATGAATCGCACACAAAGTAGTTTTATTTAATGAATCATACATTATATTTTGATTATAAGTTGAACATAAGAGGAAATTTTGTTCATATTTGGTGAACCAATTGAAAGATAAAATGCAAATATAAGCGCTGCTGGTAATAAGTATTACTATGGCAATAAAAAGTAGCTTTAGATTTTCTTTCTGTAGTAAGATGGGAGTCTTAGTCTCTCTAGAACGTGTATCTGAGAGATGTTTTAAGAAAACAGTAGCGGATTACTAAATAGCTCAGTGATTATCACTTCAATTTGTCAAAAGCTGTTAGTGAATAGGCCTACAGAAGATCACAATGAAATAACACCACCTTTCGGAGTCGTTGTTTCTGTTAGTTAGTAAGATTCTGGGGCTACTAAGTGATAGGGTAGGCAAGGCTAGGCAAACATGGCGATTGAAATTGGTATTGCTAGCAGTTAGCTGTGGGAGTCTAAAGCTATTTGCCACCCTTTTTCAGAAAAAAAAAATACACTAGAGAAAAACGCCAGAGACCTGACTAGGGAAAATGTGTTTCAAGATTATTTTCTTTCAGATTTTAGACTTTGTACAATATAATAATGATAAAAAAATGACATACCTTAATTTCACTACAGATATGTAATTTTTTTATCATAATATTATACAAAAGTTTAACTATCTTTTTGTGTTACTGTTTAATTATCTTGTTTTGTTTTTATTATTGGCAGCATGCATAACAGCCAAGGTCAATACAAAAACTGTTTTAAAATAATTCTTATTATAAGTATAATAAGACCCGTTTAAATTGGTTTTACTTAGTGTCACTGGGTGGTTCAAGAACAAACCATCCATTAGATCAAGGGTGGACTAACTCTAGGGCCAAGAGGGCTTTGACAGAAGGTAAAAAGTCTTAAAAAAGCATTTTGTTAGTGACATGAGTGGTGCAAATAGTAAAAGGCCTGGGTCACTAGATTTTAAAAACCACCTCTGTATTAGATTTTATTTTATTTATGATTGATTCATAATATTATCCTTTAATGTTATTAATATTATTAGTCTGTTATTGTTACAACTTTATAATTTCACTAGCTGACCCAGCGTACTTCGTATTGCTTACAATAATTTGGAAGAAATGATAAACGACGAACGTCAAATGTTTGACAGGAATATACACATAGCAATCTGTCGGATCCAATGTAAAACATTCCAAAATCAACAACTACTAATAAATTAAAAATTTATTAAAAAAACATTGTCCAGCGGACAAAATTGTGAATCTAAACCATTCTCAGATCCCCTTGAACACACACAAAAAATTTCATCAAAATCGGTCCAGTCGTTTAAGAGAAGTTCAGTGACATACACACTCACAGAAGAATTATATATATAAAGATTAGCTCCTATATACTGTGTAGAACAGGATCTGATAAAAGTTGAGATACAGAGTAAAATATTTTTACTGAGTCATGGACATAAAAAGCAAATAAATGTACTGATTTATCATCATTTTTCTAACAAAATGTTTTCTCATGACATTGGCAAACTATTTTACACAGTTTCTAAAATTGTACATTCAACAAGTCAAGCCACCCAAACCAGAAAAATTACTATCTTAATTTCCTTTATATTATTATATTACATTTAATGAAATATGTCTTTATATGTGTTTATATTCAACAATATATCAAGTAATGTTAGTTGACTTTAGAGCATAAATATGAGTGAACTGGCAATCCGGGTGCAGATCAGGAGGTCCAGTCTTTGCAAATTTATAGTGTATGTTAAAAAGAAAATATCATTTTCTAATATATAAAACTACATACACTACGAAAAGATAAAGCATGAAAAGTGTAGATAAATGCTGAAAGAAACTTGAAACGATAACAAAATAATACTTTATTTTCAATAATTTCAATTATGGAAGAGAATCGGTAGGTTACTTTTAAAACTTAAAATGTAAACTAGCTAACTAAACTAATAAGATATTTATTCTGCTTTCCAATTGAACATAAACTAACTATCCTTAACAGAGTTACTGTTACAAGTTTCAACAACATGCAGTGTAAAATGTTACCACCGAAATAATTGTGTAAACCTTCAAAAAGTATGCAGTTTGATCTCCGGATTACATAAAATCTAAAATTTCTATAATCATTTGGGTTTGTAGGACCATGAATAATAAACAGGTCAGTACAAATAGTCATGTACTTTCATTTTTTATTCTATTTAGTGCCACTTTACTATATTATGATTTGATATTAAGCTTATAGATAAGACTCACCTCCAGAAGCAATATAAAATCCACTTGGAGAATATTTAGCTACGTTCACTTGACAAGAATGTTCTGTATATACATCCGAAATGGCCGGATTTTCGATATCCCGTATTATCACTGAATTTCCATTGGTATACAAAAAGGTCCTTCCTTTGGGGTCACCACCTAAAACTAAAGGTGTGCCGCGTTGCGTCCGCGGCAATGCCGCGAAAGTATATTCTGTAAGAGAAAAAGAAACATACTATTTGAAGGAACAGAAGAATTTTAGAACACAAACCAAATTTATCTGCTGATATGTATTTGCAACTATAACCATTATGCTTGAAGTCGTAAATAATATGTTAACTCACTGTTGGAATAGGACATTTTAAATCTTAAACTTTACTAATTATCAACTACACGGACTAATCTAAATCTAAGAATTACTCAGTACTTTCCAATTTATTTAGAAAAACACAATCAGCCGCTAGCAATTCATAGCCTCCCAAAAAGTGACGTATTAAAATTATTTTTCTAAGGTTGGTACCCCGTTGCAGCATATGCCCTTATATGGACTTATGTCATTCAAAATGACATTTCTAGTGATGTGTCATGCACTAGCCGTGGACAGTCTTACTCTTAGTCATGAACCATTGTTGTTCCATGGTAATAACATCAACTTCTAAACTAAATACCATGATTGTACTATAAAAAAAATAACGAAAACGATAGACTCTATAATGATTGGTTACTTAAGCGGAATTCTTTATTTGTTTGTCTGCAGTAAATTAATTATAATTTTTCGATTGTATAAAGAACCATGCTGATAAATGGAGTATGAGTTTCAAAATAAGAAGACTTTAAACAGCTCAATATTATTGAGTATTAAAATATTTCAAAAACAACAAAAACAGTATCGAATATATGTATGGTCATTGGCCCTCGAGGTATTATGATTGGAACCCACGTATATCATGATTGGCAGTCTGAATATTTTTATTTCTATTTTATTTATTTTTTTATGCATCTAACTGCTTTATGTTTAAATCAAAAAAAAAATATAACTAGAAAAAGAAACCACGCGGACCAGGCAGCAGACGAGACTCGAACCCTATCCGGGTGACCTCGCTATCCGGGTGAATGCACTGATCAATTATGGCCCTGATGGCAAGTCGAATTTTTTTTAGCCATTCTTAAGCTGCAAGGCAGCGCCATCTCTTCGCATTGTAGATAACCCACAATTCTATTAAATTTACTTAGATAAAAGACACTTAGGTATGACTGTATAATGGTCAGCGCAGATTATGGACTTTTGTCCGCGGACGCTGGAACATTTGACAAAAGGCGCTGAAAAAATATCTACTTAGAACTTGGCACAGACTCAATGTACACGGTGCGCAGACTTTGATGTCGATTCTGGCATGATTCTCCAAAGTTAAACTTAAAGACAACAGTGCATCCTTTTCATTCTCTATACAGAATGAAAAGGAGACACTGGTGCCGATTCTAGCGTGATTCTCTAAACTTATAACTAAATTTGACATCAGTCTCTCCTTTTCATTCTGTATAGAGAATGACAAAGATGCACTGTTGTCAAATTTAAGTTTAGCTTTAGAGAATCATGCCAGAATCGACATCACTGATGTTAATTTTAGTTTTAAGTTTAGAGAATTACTCCAGAATCGACACCATTTTGTTGTTGATTTCGTTGTATTGTAATTAACATAAAGATTAAGAAAAAATCTCTTGTTCGCGTTGGCTTTTAAGAGATCTACATATGTCATCTTTTTAAAATGAACTTATTTAAAATTAAAATTCTATTTACGCTGTGACTTGTTAATAAAATATTCATGATTGATTTCTTTGGTTATTGAAATTTTTACTACAATATCCAAATTCCAAATCACGTTTAGTGCTTAGTTAGTCCTTAGGGCTTAAAACGCTATTTTGGTCTTTAGGGACTATAACATTATATTGTTCATTAAGAATTAAAACGCTATTTTGATCCCTAGGGATTTAAATAATATATTGGTTTCTATTGGTTACTCAGTATTTTGGTCAGTCAGTTGGTTTCGCCGTCTACATTTATGAAGAAGATATAGATTAAGGCTGTATGTACATATTTTCATTTGCTAAGAATTTATCTTTTGTAAAAGTAAAATTATCGCTACATTTCATTGGTTAAAAATAGCATCACTTCTTCATCTCGTCTATCTTGTTTATGGTGGATAAATACTTCCTTGCCATTGGTTGCTTACTGTGATTCCTTCCATAGACATAGATGCCTTCTTTCCTTCTTTCATTTTCATTTTCAATTGTCAAATATGTCTTGAACGAGTGTGGTGTTATGTTGAAATATTGCGACAGATGTATTAATTCTTGGCGATTTTTCTAGTGCTCTTGTGTTTTTTACTAACAACAAAGGGTAATGGTTTCGTCTCAAGCAATCGTTTGTGTTTATAGTGGTAATTTTGTGTCGTACTTCGACGGCTAAGTTTGACATTTGTTTCCACGTGGTGAAGTGACCGTCAGAATTCAGTCGACGTGGTAAAATCTTTAGCTATTTAGAATTTTTGACCGCATTCTACAGAGAAATGGAGTCCTTGAACATCTCAAAACTAAACTTGTCCAGCGTTAGAGGGACTACTTCCCAGGAAAACGGGGCAAGGGCCGAACAATACGAAGTAAAACTGGAATCAAATGTAAGTTCATCAACTTGTGCCAATGTGGAATGTAATTTTTGTTTTTGCTAACGGCATGAATAAAATTATTCTTCGTTACGTTAATTATAGCAAGAGGACAGTAAATTATAAGATTTTTTAAAATACACATCCGTTTCCATGACCAAATAAAGTAATGAAGTAGCCCCAAGTGTTAGCTGTTATTTTTTGTTATTTATGCACTGTAGTCTAACCTTGTATTTCATTACAGCTGGTATGAATTTAGTTTTGAATTTTAAAATTTAGTGCTGTGCTTGTTTTTAATTGTGGATATTTTCTTACAGACGTTGACTGACCCTGATGATGAATTCCACTGCGAGTATAGAGAAGAAATATGGCAAAACCTGCTGGAACAGGAAGCCGAAAAGCCCACAATCCACTTACAATCACCTCAGGTATTGTACTTTATCAATTTAAAGACAAACTGTTTTATTCCAAAACGCAGACTAAAGTTAGGGCTAAACTTTACTTCCAGGGCCCAAGTGGTGATACTTCACACTAGGTTAGGTCAGGTTAGTGTTGTGACCATAACGCGCAAGCCGAGAGAGCGAAGAGTACGCCACCGCATGGGCCGGCGAAGCACTAGAAAAAAAAATTAAGAGACCTTTTCTACAAAATAGTTTGGGTATCACCACTTGGGCCCTGGAAGCATAGTTTTACCAAAGTTAGTATTGGTTAAAACCTAATATTGTCTCTACCTTCTTCTATGATTTGTAATAAGGCAAATAGTGTTTTATATTTATTTTTGTTTTAATAATAGAATGAAGTGATTAAGATATGTAGCTTTTAATGGAATATTTTTAAAGTTCGTTTTAGTATGGCATCTGGGTAGTACTAATGTTAATTGCTAAACACTTTTCCTATCCAATGCAATATATCTTCAGATTGTGAAATTATGTATAGATTTCCTTATACCTATACTATGCTTGTTATGTATTTTATGCAAAAAAACTATTTGTTATCAAAACTATAGTAATGCAATTTACAATTTATTTATTTTAATAGTAGATAAAATAGTCTGTTCAATAAAATGAATTTGCTCAACCATTGCTAAATGAATGGACAAAGACATCCAAGTTTTTATTTTTAATATTAGCCATTATGAAACAATAATGTAATGGTTACATTATGTTATGAAATCTTTCCATTCTCACATATTTACTCTCATTTTTCACTGAGTGGTTGATGTAATATTGTTGTAATCTGAGAAATAACAATTTTCAATAAAAATGCTAATGCAATATCCTTAAAAGATGATTCATCAAAGGTACTCTGAACAAGTTGTATTGATAAGTAAAAGTGACTCTTGTGAACAATAATATAAAACATGCTTTAGAAAGGATGGTGTGCACTTATTTGTTCTTGTTCAAAAGGTGATGAAATATGCATTGATATTGGGATTATATTTCATTATTCATGCTATGTGAGGGTTTTACGAAAGTTATGCTGATAAGGGGAAAAATAAACTACATCTGTGACATTAACAAATATATCAAATATAGGTATATTTAATTATGTAGTTTATTTAGAAAAATGTCTTCTTATTTTTTCTGTGATTTAGAGGGCTCATAATATGTTCATTTTTATCATCTAACAGTGAAATGTTTGTCAGTTTGTCAAAATTATGGCTAAAATAAATATTGTGTATGGTAAATATTATAGTTATAAATTGCAACCATTTGTCTTTATAGTCAAGGTCAATAGTTGTATCACTGTATGAAACATATGTTGGCTTTTAATAATATACAATACTATAATATTTATTTAAGAAACAAAAGGTTTTAATATAATTTAAAATCACACTTTAAGTTTGTTTACATATTAAGTAACTGGTGTTTGGGAAACCTTTAAGTAAGAGAAACGGAACTAGACCAAGATGTCTAGCCTTAAAGTCTGTTGTAAAACATCTTTAGAGTAAATCTGTTGTTCCCAGCTGGAGTTCCGTGGTACACTGGTTCAACAACTCCGTGATGTCACCAAGAAGCTCGGGCTAAGCATTGCCACACTACACTCGGCCGTAGCACAACTAGACTTGTTCATGGACGCCCACAGACTCAGAGCGGACCGATTGACTCATGTCGCACTTGCTTGCCTTAGTCTAGCAGGTAAGTTTCTGCTATAAGTTCCATTAATCATCATTTTATTTTACAATTGTATTAAATACTAACAGGGTAGGGTACAGTGAAATTAGGTGTTAGTATTCCTTCATGTCTATCCGAACCAGTGGTGGATGAAAAATGTTGAAATAATCAAACAAAGTGTTTTATAATTCAATAAAAATACAGTGTAAACTCTATATAACAACACTAAAGGGACTGTTCATTTTATGGCGTTATAGAGAGTTGTCGTTAAATGGAAAGAAGAAAAATCAGAATTATGAAAAGAAAAAGTTTATTTCAAGCTAGTAGTTATGTACATAAAAAATAATCTTATTTGAACGCTATTGCGTATATTCTGTTATTTTTGTTCGACGTCTTTTGCTGCACCAGTAATTTTGTTGTATTATATTTTTAGTCATGGTCTACAACAGTCTACACGTGCAATCCCAATTTGTAAACAAAATGACGAATTTCTTAGAAAGTTTGGCTTCCATGATGCCGACAGTCGAGTTTATTACGACTAGGATAATAAAGTGACAAAAGAACGTACACTGCGTGAGGTTCATTAATTTTGGCAATTTAAAAGGTACTTTTTATTACTTTATTGTTGTCGTTATTGCGAGTGGGTGTAATGCTAAATGGAGTGTATCATTGTATGGAAAATAAACTAAACCAACCAAAGTCGAGTTATTTCGACACTTTAGGGAGTTTGTCGTTAAATCGAGTGACGTTACATGGAGTCTACACTGTATATTTACTAAATTGCCTGAAGGGCTTTATCTGTGTGTGTATTGCTCTTATCGTTGCCAGAGTTTGTGGAACTCTGGCAATGATAAGAACTTGCAGAACAAAAAGTTGTGGACTTTGGAGTAGTTTAAATCAAACCAATTGATTCCACTTACTCTTAACATCAGATTGTATGTTTTTGTTTCACTTGATAGCCTAGGTCTTTTACAAGGCGAAACAAAAAAACGTTATCGTTTCTTTACAGCAAAAAGCGAAGAGAAATCCAGCCGGGCTCCCACTCTGAAGACATTGGCTAAGATAAGCGGTGTCCAACTGTGCGGTAAAACATTCCGACAGCTGGAATGGATGGTTGGTCAACATGCCCGATGGAGGCTCCTAGCACCAACTCCAGTCTCCTTCGCAGCTCTTCTGGCTCAGTATGTAGTTACGGACGCTGATCTTACGACCAGACACCCAAAGTTTGTGAGACGGTTCAAGAGAGATGGTGCAAAACTACTGGAGTCTTACTTGGATCTGACATTGTCTGGTGAGTGTTTTAGTTTGTGTTCATATAGTGCGATGGTTAGAGTGTTTTCGAGAGAATAGTAATTTAGTGTTTAAATGGGACTAGTTTTTAAGAAGTTTTTAAATTAACTCTCCTCTTACGTAGTCCAGGCAGCAGACGGGACTCGAACCCGCATCCTTCCATTATAATATCGCAGGCCTGATGGCCGTGTCGAATTCTTTCTAGCCTTTCTTAAGCTGCAAGGCAGCGCCATTTCTTTGCATTGTAGGCAACCTACAGTATTAAATGAATACCTTTACAAGTATTAAACATTTGAAAGAAGAAATAGCAATTATACTTATATTTTTTTTGAGCATTTAACTGCTAGATATTTAAATTAATAGATTAAACATCTATCCATCAGCTGCATGGAATTTTTTCAATTAAATTTTTTTCAAATTTAAACATTTAGCAGTTACATGCTTAAAATTAAAAAAATATAATTATGTATATAGTTCTTGTAATATTTTTATGCAATACCAAAAAGAGGTCCAATGGGCACTTTTTGCTTTCGGGTCGAAACTTGAGGGTCCAACGGGTACTTGACCAATAAAATGGATTCTTATAAGTGGAACTTCATATAAAGCACTGTTTAATTCAATTTGAAAAGTTGCTATTTGTCCGTTAATCTTTCAAGAAATAAATAATTGTTATCTCGCTACATACAGACGTGCGTCTCAAGGTAGTGGAAGCCGTAGACGTAGGCTGTGCTTGCGTCGCCTGTGCTCGAGCAGACTTGGGACTATGCGCTTGGCCTGTGTGGCTGGCGACTACTGCAGGCCGTAAGCCCGCCAGCGTGGCGCCCTTAGCAAGACTGTTGCAGAGGTGAGTTTAAAAAATTTAATATCCATCTCACAGGGAATAAAATGAGTTTCTACATTCATATCACAGGGCATAAAAGACATAAGACACGATAGAGAAAACATACACACATAACTTTCGAAAGACTGCTCCGTCAGCCTGTCTACGTGGCGCCCATAACGAGATAGTTGCAGAGATGAGTTTCTACATTAATATCCATCTCACAGGGAATAAAATGAGTTTCTTCATTAATATCACAGGGCATAAAAGACAAGACAAGACAGAGAAAACATACACACATAACTTTTGAAAAACTGTACTGTAAGCTCGCCAACATGGCGCCCATAGCGAGACTTGCAGAGGTGAGTTTCTACATTAATATCCATCTCACAGGGCATAAAAGACATAAGACACGACAGAGAAAACATACTCACAATATGTAAACATATAACTTTCAAAAGATTGCACTGTAAGCCCGCCAGCGTGGATGGGCGCCACGCTAGCGAGACAGTTGCAGAGGTGAGATTGTACACAAATCTTACAGGGCATAAAAAAACATGATACCTTCATGACAGAGAAAACACATGTATAGTCACGTTCTTTAGTTTGTAATCCAACTAAGGTTTTAGGTATATTTTTACATATTTAATACACGTATTTATACAAATAAAAAGATATACAAATGCTCGTATTGATCATATCTCTGCGTAGGTTCAAACTGCAGGACGTCAAAAACGGTTTTAGATCTTTATTCTCATAAAAAATTACAAAATTCACTTACCATGAGAACATAAAATATTTTAAATAACATTTTGGTTAAATACGGAGATACATTGAAGTCGGGGGTAGAACTAAAAACAGTGTCACTGCTCATTGATTACGTTCGGGCATAGATGGCTCGGTTAACAAATGAAAAAAACTTTGATCACAGTTATAGCTCCGCGTCGTACTAGAAGTGGCTTGAGTTGCTTGTGTTAGGAGTTTAGTTTGTAAATAATTTATATTTATTATATTGGTAATTCAACGTCACTCATCATCTTTTATTTGATGCATGTAAATTATCACGAAAAAACCGAAGTAGTGATATATATATATATACATATTTTATAACACTTTTTCGTCTATTTTTATTCTGATGAGTTTGATATTTAACTTTAACATTAACTTTATTTATGACTTGTATTGTATATTCATATTTTTTACAGTTCATTATTTTTATGCTGTTTTATTTGAGATAGTTAAATTTATAATTTTATACGGAGAAATACATATTATATAAATATATAGACATATCGAGGAATATATTTTTAGTTTTATCTGTTACAAGGTGTTATAATTATTAATAATATATGATTATTAATATATATTTTTAAATAAAATCGCGTACTCAATTATGTTACAGATTTTTGCACATAATATCTAAGTCGCTTTTTAAAGCCTAAAATTGTTTGTGATTCTTTTATGTCTTTAGGAAGTTTATTATATAATACAGCTCCTTCACACAAAAGGCTTTTTTTACCATAGTTAGTTCTTGGTGCACGTAAAATAAGGTCATTGGCATTTCTTAGCTTAATTTTTTGGATTTGTCTCTTTTTAGTGAAGCTCATTTGAGTGTGAATATCCTTTGTTAATATTTTACGAATTAATAAACATGTAAAATAAACATACGACTGTCTTATATTTAGCAGTTTCGTTTTCTCGTACAATTTATTAGTTGGCGTGAGATAATCATAATCAAAGAGCACTTTTATAATTTTATTTTGGGCTCGTTGGACTGGGTCCAAGTTACTCTTTGCAGCAGCACCCCAGACCTCAATCAGATAATCTATGTGTGGTTTCACGAGGGAATTGTATATAAGGTAACGCATCTTATATGGGAAACATCGTGTTATTCCTCGAAGAGCACCAGTAATAGTGGATAACTTTGATTTAATTTTCTCTATGTGCGGTTTCCATGACAGATTGCTATCAAGAAGCAGGCCGAGGTACTTTTCACAATTCGAACTTTTAAGTTTTTGGTTATTTATGCTTAGTGGTTTAAAATCTGGTATTTTTTTGTTTTTAGCTTTAAATATAATGTAGTTAGTTTTAGATATATTGATAGTCAGTAGATTACATTGAAACCAATGATGCAATGCGTCAAGATCATTTTGAGCGTCTTCAATAATAGTATTTATTGACCTTCCGAAGTAAAATAAACTTGTGTCATCGGCATATAAAGTTACGTCTCCTCTAAATGAGAGTTTATCAACAAAAATTGTAATACTCTCGGCTTATTCTATAAAAATAATTTGAAAAAAGAAAACATACCTAATTTAAATTGTACTTTGTCAAATTTTGTTGCCTACTGTTAATTGTATGTGGTGTCCTGTCAGAATAATTATAAGCCTACAACACAAATATGTCATCTTTAAATATAGTACTTAATTATATTTACATACATTGTTATCAATATTTCACATGATGATCAAAGGCCGAAAAGACATTGTAAAGCATGCAATGTGGTTGATATCCCACTTTGGTAGATATCCCAACTTGGTTATACCAACGAAGCGAACAACTGACATCACTTTACTACCAATTTCCACTTATTCAAACATTATTTGTACATATGAAACACACACTTTAAAACTCCACAGGATGATGCAAATACTGAAGTCGCGCGAAACCAACGTGGACTCTGAAGCCGATCAGGGTTACAGCAGTGCCAGGACTTCGCCAAACCTCACCCCGTGTGCATCCCCAAGGTACCAGATATCCCCAGCTTCCAGCACTTGCAGCACTTCCTCCAGGTCTTACAACTACGAATGTCGTCAACGTCCCGTGGAAACCCGCCAAGAAAACACTTACTCTGTCCTCGATTTGAACGATGCTACCAATCTTCAAACCAATGTGAACGTCGAACAGTACTACCAGCTGCCTACGGCTGTCGATATGAGGTGTCAAAGGGTCAACAACCCCGCAGACTTCAGGTTTTGCAGGTCCCGGAGGTTACTGGAAGCCAGCTTAGAAGCCGGCCAACCATCCACAAGTATGGCTGTGAAACGTGGCCTGGACACGAACGTAGAATTAGATAACAAAAGGTATCGCTTGGCCACCCAAATGTCCCAAGTGGTTCTATGATTGCGTCTAGTCTCTGTATGCATGTTCACGAATAAGCGAAGACTGCCTTTATTTAATTTTGAGCCGCTTGTGGGGGCGTTGTGACATTTGTTAAATGTTAATGGTTCATTTAACGGTTTTTTAGCATAATTTGTAGGAATGAATTTTTTTTTTTCGTGAACATGCAGGCTCTTATGCAAATACTTTTTTTGACTGTTGTCTTTGTACGCTGAAATTGAGGGCGCAATCACTTTCCTCTCGAATCTAATGAGTATGGTTTATAATTACTGATTTTTTTTCTAGTTAATTCAACAACGAAACCTTGCACTGAAACCTTAAAATATCATAAATTCGAATAGATCTTTCAGTGTGAAATGTCCCTAATGAGCTCTCGTGTACGCTAGTACGTACTCCTAATGTGATTGCGCCTTTATTGGACCAGGGGGCCAATCGCCTAACCGGATTGCTTTGGAAAACGCTATCGCTTACGATTTCATTTTGTTATTTCTAGCCAACTGAGGTTTTCAACTGCCTAGCGCTCTTTTTTTTCTTTTGCATTGTTAATAACAATATTAAAAAAATTACCGTGAGGTATTTGAAAACCTTCGGCGGTCAGAAATAACACAATGAAATCGTAAGCGATAGCGTTTTCCAAAGCAATCCAGTTAGGCAATTGGCCCCCAGATCAAAGAAGTATTTGCACTTGTTAACAATTAGGGTTATTTATCAGGTGTATTTATTATGTACACATACAAAGTGATGTATTGTTTATTGTGTAAAATTTATAATACTGCAGTTAAACATTATAAAGAGCTTTACATAATAATCGTTCGGACATGTAAAATTAAAATACTCATCGTTACTTAAAGTTCTTATTCAATATTTTTTTATTTGATTCGGTGAAACGAAATTTTGTGTTTTTTAATTGCAGTATTGCTCAGTTGTTTAGGAATTTAGACCGGAAGTCGTTATCGAAATGTTTGCAAACGAAAGAAATGCGATATATTTTTTATAAAGGTTGTGATATTAAGAAAAGTTAAAAGTGTGTATGATACTGGAGGGGATATGTGCACCAACTTTCTTAAAAAAAAAATTGTTATCCTTTTTAGAAACTCGTTTTATCTTTTGTTTGACTGAAACCTTATTGCAAAACATGGATTTAACTAAGTCTTAGTTTAAACCCTAATGTTGTGTCCGTCTTCTTTTTAGCAAATAAAAATGACAGCATCAGTTTAAGTCCAGTCCCCGTAGCATGAGCACTACATTATACGTTTTATCTCGATTTAATCAAACTAAAGTAATTTGATAATTGAGCGATAAAATAACGTGCTATATATCATATGGCGGTGCTCATGATAGGGGGCTGGTTTAACTTTAATCTACGCTTTGTAATAAGGCGGAAACAGTTGACAAAAGATACTGATTTAAGAATTTAGGTGCTTGTATCCCCTACCTACGACTTTTCGGTTGTTATTTAAGGGTACTTGTGTACGGAAACTTTTTGCAGAAATACAGCCACGCTTGTATCTTAAAAATCTAAATTGAAAAACCTAAATGCCTAATATTTCATTCTATGCCTAGTGCTTCCTTAGTTTGGAGCAGTAATATGGCGATTGTAATATATAGGCTCTACTACAAGTGGAAGTGTCCCTCTAATAGAAAGAGAAAGAAGATGAGAGACCGCTAGCTTTCTCTCTCTAATCGCGCATGCGCATTGGCAACCGTAAGCGTCTTACTATTTCGATGTGAGGCTTGGACCAACTATTGGACAGACGACTACGCATGCGTCACAAGAGAGAGAATATGTATTTTTCCTTTAATGTATTCTGTTTTTTATTAGTGATTCATGAGCTTTCATGAGCTTCATGAGCAGCAGTACTTAAATTGGCTTAGGATAGAGGACTTTAACGCACGTAATATTCATTTAAAAAAACTTTATTACTAATAAATCAAGTCAAAGTAAGTGGCAGTCAAGTCAATCCCCCTTTCCCTATGTTTCAGTAAATGTGTGGAAACCTCCCCGTGGACTTCTTGAGGGAACGTCGAAAGACACTTTCCGCCATTTTGTTTCACTTGCCAGTACTTGTGCTGGTTCCCGAACACTTAGTGGTTAATAATCCACCATTATTAGACACTAACATCCGCCACAACACAATTTTTAACAAGAAAAACAAAACTGCTAAAGTGACGCTTCCCGATCCCGTCAAAAGTCCCACTTTTAGGTTATGGTTTCAACACACCAGCAACTGTTTTTAATTCTCACTCATTCGGGAAGGAAAATTCCATCCTCACAGTCCACACTTATTGGGTCGTGCTTACGTTCATTTTGATTTCATCTGGGAACTTTTTTAAATAAGGTTATGTCAGTCGGTGCTTGTAAGACATATTTGGGTTTAACCTTTGTATTAGTGTACGTACGATTTAGTTTTAACCTGTGCCACTTTTTTGTACGCAACGCGACATCTGTCCTTTTTTATTTGATCTGAGGAGACAGATACGTTACTTCTGATATTTAGTTAAAAATTAAAATTTCAAAAGACTCCAAATTTCAGCAAATTTACATCTACGAGATTTTTAACGCTTTCCAAGTAAAATTTGACTGGCCATGTATCGCTGCAAAATATCGTCGTGCACGGGTGCCCTTATAAGATAGTATTGTAAACATAAACGGGAATAATAGTTAGCAAATAAATTGTTCCATAGTGAATATTGTCTCGTTTGATTCATTGAAGAGTTCCAGAAATGCTAGTAATTTGTTAATATTAGTATAAGAGTTATATTTTTGCACTACGATATAGATGAAAAATGACATCAAATGTTGACGATATTCACTAGAATGTAGCCAATTGAACGGAAACAGGTCGGCGATGGAAACGCAAACATGTTGGACCAATGTATGTTATACATTAATTATTTCGTTAGATTTGTGGAAAATGAATATCGTGACGTGCATAAATTATGAAACAACGCTTACATGTATTTCAATTTTCTTTCTTCCTGGCTTAACGACGTTTTCTCGAACGCGTGCAACATGTTGTGTTAAACTGACCTATTTCTTAAATACTAGGACACTGTATGATATAATTACTATTTATTATGTACCTACCTCCAATACCTATTGTATTTTAGTGAGCCTGAGCAATTTTAGTCAAACAATTAAGATAATTTTAATGGTAAATCTGATGCAGCCCCGGATACTTTTATGAAATTTTGCATAAAAACAGCTTGTGACAAGTGCAGGCTTTTTAATTGTGTTTAATTATTATCATAAAGTAATCCAGCTTTGAATATGGCTTTTATCTTAACTTACAAACTATAAACTAAATAAATTGGTGTTAAATATTTTATCTCAAAATTCATTATCAAATAAATTGGGTTATTATTTTATCAATTACATATAAAGTTTTAAATTTAGTGTTGTGTAGAAATTGTTCTAATTTATTTTCGTTATCATAAAAGTCTAGATAATAATCGCTCAATTTGTGTCAACCCATTTGAAATTAATGATGACAATCGGAGGCTTAGAATACAACTTAAAATTTCATTTAGGTAAATAGTTCAATACTGGTGTCGTCATTATATATTCATTATTTTCTACCCTCTTTAGTGAATTGCAATTTAGCCACAATTGTACCAATGAAAGGCTCATTTGATGCTCACTTAAGAATATTTATGTTCCTATTCGACAACTCTTATGACCGCCTTCTACAGTAATCGGTGAAGACTTTGAAATAATCGGTGGAGACTATCTGTATCAATGTATTAGTTTACCTCAATTTTTGTTTAAAATATATATGTTATGTACATATATACTTCCGGACACATCTATCGGCCATACTAGCATATTATGCTTTGACGGTACCTAGCTAAAAATTATAATATTTCCAACACTCACACCAATTAGCCTAGCCCCAAAGTAAGCACTGTAAAGCTTGTGTTGTGGGATGCTAGGGTAACGGGTAGAATACATATATAAGTATCTTCTAATATATAAAATTCTCGTGTCACGGTGTTGGTAATTCAAATACTCGGAAACGGCTCGACCGATTTTCGTGATATTTTATATTCAGTAGGTCTGAGAATCGGACAACATCTAGTTTTCATCTCCCTAATTGTTAAGGGTGGACGTCCCTTAAATTTCTTTTTTTTTGGATTTTTTTTTAAGTTTTTTATGATACATTATACAAATTTACATACAACCCTAAATTTTCAACCTTCTACCAACAACCTCTATTTTTAATGGCGGTACGAAGTTCGCTGGTACAGCTAGTATTTATACAGTAATACATATTAAACATCCATGACTGGAGTACAAATGCTCATATTCATATTCAAATAAACGTTACATTAAGCAAAAAGGTTAATATAACCGAAAAGGCCTAATAATACATACGCAGTTTTGAAATTGATTTATTAAACATCTTTATCATGTGATTTTAGAATTATTGCTCAATCATAAACATATATTTTTGCTACAGACCGTTAAAACTTATATCACTTAGTTGGCCGGTAGATGAGTCCGGAACTATATATTATGAACATATAATAATATTTAGTTAAACTAATTCGCTGAAGCATCCTATATCTGTACTGATTTGTTTAACAATAATTAGCTTTTATTGTTTTTTTTGTGAACCTTTGAAAATAGTGGAGCTTTCAGTTTGCTATGGAAGGCAGGCATAAACATAAACCATGACCGAATAACAATACTGATTTAGATAAATTTATATTATTTGATATTATAGTTTTTAATTATGTATCGCTGCATTTTGTTTTATGTATATCAATGGTTGATTCCTTTATGAGACAGCTGTGTTTTTAGATAATGATTAGATGTGGTTTAGTTAATTGAACGAATGTTAACTTCGCTTCGAAGTGGTGATGTTTTTAATACGAATAGGGTTAAACTATAATTGCGACTGCATATTATAAAACTTGTCAACTACATAAGCTTCATGCTCATTTGAGGCGGTAGTCAACTTTTACGACTGCAAGCATGCTTTTTTCGATTTCGATGTTTATTTGTCGCAAGTGTCAACAGATGGCGCTGATAAAAATTTATAAGTATTATATTGTTGCGTTTCCTAAAAAGATTGTAGTAGCTATTTATTCGTTGTTTTTCTTTTATCGTTGTCTTTTCGTTAGAGCCTTATAATTTGATATTGCTTAAGATTATCTCGTACGTGAAAATATTGTGTTGCTGCAACTTACGATATTTCAAAGAGAATTTGGATGACAACCAGATTATAAAGTTTTGATGAAATAATTAGCCATCCATACGCGCCCCCTTTTTGCCCAGAAGTGACATTCGAAGTCAGTGAAAACTGCGCCCAAACATTTGTGGTGCATTGCATGTTTGTAACTAGTCCAAAAAAAGTATTTAATAAATTAATTTTTATTTTATGCAGTTTATTTACGGATTCGCCACTTCGAAGCCACTTGTATTTAGTGATGTGGAATAGAATCTTTTATTCCATTACGGAATTCATTGACCATTACTGTTTTCTTTTTTTTAATTATTATAAGTAGGTAGAGACGAAGATGTTTTTATTTTTTCTAAGTTTATACACTTGGGAAGATTCCGTTCCATCGTCACTGATGTTTGTTTGTTTTTTTTTTTATTTCCTATTGCCCCGCTATGATATGGGCTAAGTAGTTATACAGTTAAATATTTTCTTATGATGTGTTTTCTTTTTTAAACGATAATTGTCGGTTTTAAAAATGATTCTGTTGATATTTAAAATGAAGGTTGGTATCGTTTCACTATTGTACTAGTGTAATTTTATGCTTATAGTTACCATTACTTTGTTCGTTTTAAAACTATATGAATATACGTACGAAGGATATTTCGTGATTCCCTCTGCTCGCTACGTTTTTATGAGGATGTTTTAAAATTGTCAAATATTCCAGTCGATTTTATTTTTTAACAATGTTACTGATTTGAGAACGCAAATGTTAACTAGCTGCCTAATAAGCATTGTGAATATTATCATAATGTGATTTGCATTGAAATATGAATACATATAAAATTATCTCTGTAAAGTATATTGTTTATAAAGAGACTTAATCTGTAATTAAAATGACGTATACACTGGCGACGGGTATTTAACTAGATTAAGTAATTCAAAGCGTTTGAAATAATAATAATCTTTTGTTATGTACTGTCGACGCCATCTTTTAAAAGTTCCTATAGACCCGTACCCAAAGCCCCTTATTGGTTAACGAAAACGAGATGCTTGGCTGTATATATCTATGTTTTGTATAAGTTCATTGGATGACAGATGGCACTTGAATAATATGAAGAAAACACTGTGTAACTAGTCTATTTAAGCTTAATCCTAGTTTATTATTAAAGGTTTACTCTGTAAACAGAAATGTCAAATGGTTGTAATTATACGAGTTCAATATCCATGGTTACGGGTTCAAATTCTCCTTTATATTAATTTCTTTCACTCGGCTGTATGTTGAGGTTTTTGAATAGTCTCAGTCAAACGTTAAATTTCACGTTTTGTAATAAAAAAAATTAAGTATGACACTTTGTGGCGTTGGCTGTACATGCAATGGAATCAGTAATCTATGTGGGTATAACTTATATCACGTATTGAAAAATCGCAAACAGTCAACAAACCTATCGAATACTTTAAAATTGATCTTATAAACGTGACTCTCACATACCTCTGGCTCTGCAATGGATCCATCGCCGCCGCCTTAAGTTGAACCGTTCAGTTTTTTACTTAACTCGAATATTTTTTGTGTGAATTCCCTACTACAATTCACACCGGTTGTGAAGTAAGCAACGAACAAACACACGCGCAGATTTCAGTTCAGTCAGATCCGGCGCGCGCCGAATCTTCCTACGATTCGCTTACTGCGCCGTGACTTGCGCTAACTTCACAGCTAGCATCTCACCTCGGAGCAAACTTGGCGACGTAATAGGCTATTTGACAGTATGAAAAATAAAGTAACAATTATTGGCGTATTTAACACGAATATTAGAAGCGATTTCACTATTATGACAAAAAAAAGTAGCAGATAATATTACTAAAAATCATGAAATAGAAAAGTATTTACTGATCTTTTGTCACGTGACCGAAAATGCTTGGGATTGGCGGAGCCTAAAATGACGTCACCTGCTTGTAAACGTTCTGTCGAAATGTCATTACTTTGTACTGTTTGTGGTTTCAATGACGGCTGTGTGACGACACATGCTTGTTAGATGCTATATTGGCTAGAGGAACATAGTAAACATAGTTTTTATATTTGTTTTTTTTCACTGATCACACACAGCTGAATTTTAATATCCAATGTTTTCTAAAACTTATTAAATAGCCTATTCGAACCGACGCGATATCCAATTGCTGGTTGATACGTGTGAATTCACCTTCAAACGGCAAACTGAATCATACATGTTATCTTTAAAGATATCGGCTGGTCTATTAGCTTACTTGCGATGCGATTGGCCAAAATGCCACTAAATAGCAACGGAATTATGAGCGGAGTTTTTTTAACGTCAATAACGGCATCTATATTTTGTCCTGCACATCGGTAGCAACTGTTTCACCGACCAACCAATACAGTAAGTTTTTTTTTTTTCACTTAAATTGCAAGTTTGATTATAGACCTGCCGATCATCCTATTATTAACTTAAGAAAATGCAACAAAGCCTCATCATTTATGTAGATTAAAAAGCTCCATTGTGAATAAAATGTTATATCCTCGCTATACGATTATAGTACAGGCCGTGTGTTCTGTAAGAATAAAATCACTTTGTTTCCATTTTAAATCACGTCGCAGATTCCGATGTGAAAAGTAAATTTGCTTACAGAATAGCACAGCAGCGAAAGATTTGGCAGTGGATAAGAAATTCTATTACTTAGTAACAAGAGCGACATTCGCAGTGAAGTTGTCATTGCCATGTCTTAAGTCTAGACTGTACTTGAGTGATTAAATCCCATTGTGGAAACGTTCGACTATCAATAAAGACTGACGGTTAATTAGTGCCCAACTGACCCAAAAGAGGAGATTATGGGTCGGATGTTGAGAATGTAAACGATGATTTTGTACTAATAAACGTTATACGACGCATTATAAACTTTAAAATAAAATATTTAATTCATTATTTCTCTCTTTTTAATTAAGATCCTCTGTGTCTAGTTATTTTTTTTTTATCTAAAAAGCAAACGAGCTTAAAGGCCCGCCTGTTATTAAGGGTCAATTTATACTACCGCAGAGTCGAAGCGTAAATCCAATTATTAACATAACAAATTCAACCTTATCTCCAAAGCGGACTGCACACATTACTTCGGAGAATTAAAAAGACGCGCGCTCATTCGACGGTTTCGCCCGTGAATAACGCTGATTGGTGCGCGCGCATTCTCACGAATCCGCGCGCTCACTAACGAACTTGCGCGTGCATCAGTCTGAAATTAACCTGTGATGATACCAAGGAACTTATAAACTAACTGGAATGCTTACGCGACCCGTAGAAACGTTCCAAGAGCATAGCTGAATTGGTGAAATCTGCCTCGTTCTAGTAGTGTGCCCAAACAGTTGCTAGAGAGAAACAGATTCCACTTTCGTCGTCGCGCTAGGAGTATTTTCCCTTCTTATGAAGGTAGATACAAAAATGGACTTTATAGGTACATTTTTTGAATTCCCGTATTGTTTCGTAAGCATTCCAGTTAGTTTAAAAGTTCCTAGGATGATACGGCAAGTGATGCAATAGCAATGCTGCTAATAAGCATTTTTACGGGCCGACAAGGTGAGGATGGTTGGTGTAGCAGTTTATAACTGCTGTACCAGCTATCTTCGCGTTTGGACTTTATCACCACTTAACATCAGGTGGGGTAGAGTCATTTGCCTACCTAGTTATATATATATTATATAAAAAGCGTATTCTCGCGCATTCGTGCAACTTTGCTTTAGTTGTGAAGAGTTTTACGCTTCGATGCGCTTCGACTCGGCGCTAGTATAAATTGACCCTTAGCGGCCGCCATATCTCGTATAAATACCAGAATTTAAATCTCATTTCGTCTACTTCATGGAGCCCAGCATTTTTTAACGTATTCTTTCCACGATTACTTTGAGTCAAACTGGAATACGAGAATAATCATCAGCCATTAATATCCTCAATGCTGGGGCACAGGCCTTCCCAATAGATTTAATAGGGTGATTGGGCCATGACCACAGAACGAGGTTAGAAGAAGGGTCAAATGTGTACTGATTTTTAGTTCTCGTTACGTCCATTATGGAGCTGCTGTTCAAGTTTCCATACAAAATTTGATAATGACATTTCGGACTCGCAAACTATTCGAATTCGATATTAGTTCGTGCTGTCCATGTTACAAAAAGTCAACCTCGTAGGAATACTTATCGATACTAATTATTGTGTGCATCTATCTGAGATAGAGTATTAGAAAACGATTCCTGTGCAAATATCGCGTTGCAGATTGCACTAAAATTGCGGGGGCGTGCAACCAAAAAAAGGTTGCAGATAAACCATTTTGAAACTTTTCAGGTGGGCGTCCGTGCAAATATGTATACTGTCTGCCCCCCTAGCATGAGCACCGCGATAATATATACAGAGCGTCCCACGGGTACCTCACACGGAGGGAAAGTATATTAAATATTGAAGATAGGATATTTTACCGAAAGAAGACATCATTTTATTTTTAATTGTAACTAGAACTGCATTCACAGATTTTTTTTAAATCGCCTGCTAAAACGTCCCCGATTCCCAGTTGTAGCAGTCGATTTTAATAAAATTTGTGAATGCAGTTCTAGTTATTATCAAAAATGAAATGATGTCTTCTTTCAGTAAAATATCCTATCTTTAATATTTAATAAACTTTCCCTCCGTGTGAGGTAGCCGTGGGACGCCCTGTATAGCGCGTTTTTATCACGCTCAAGTGTCAAATTACTATGCAGTTTGACAGTTAAGTCGCGATAAAAAACCTGCTATAATGTAAATTGTGGTGCTCATGCTACGGGGACTGGGGGCCCGCACAACTATCGCACTTCAATTAATTGCAAATGTGTTGTAACTCTAAAATGAAATAAATGTCTTGTTGGCATTGCAGCATGATTACAGCACAAATGTACCTACCTAGTATAAAGCCGATATTGATTTACGTTTGCATTTAGAACACGGAAAATCACGTCCTTATTGGCTTTATGCCTTTTGAAGGAAACCTCGACAGTAAAGTAGATATAGGTAAATATTTATTTAATCTTCTGATGAGCTCCTCAAAACCACGAATAATTATGTACCTACCTAAAGAATGAAGTAACATACTCGTAAAATGATAAATAAAAAGCTCCAATGATCGTCTACCAGTACATAGTCATTTATTAAACTTATTCTATTTACACTTTCATTTCAATATTTACATAATAATAGCAGTCCAAAATTAAAATTTTAGTTTCAAAGGTAGGTTGTAAGGTGTAGTAAAATAGATTCACTCATTTGTATTTTGGACCTTGTCTGTTCTCTAAGCTAGGCGGTAGACTGATGTGTCATCTGGGGAGAGTGTGGGAAGACGGGGCGGGCGGCGAGGGGGGCGCCTTCGACGACGCGGTTTGCACTCGCAGTGGAGCGCACACAAACCTATCCCCGCGCACCCAGACAGGAACAGCGGGAGCGCCAATGTCCTCGTCACAGTAGCCACTTGCTCGCCTCTCGACCATCTCGGGACCACTACGCTCGTATCAGCTCTCGACCAGAAGCACGGATACTTCGCACCGACGTATCCGTAGCTTGTGGTGAAGTTCTCGCAGTCGACGGACGGCGGGTATCCGCACCCCTTTATGTTCACGAACAGCACGGCCGGCCGCCAATCCTCCGCGCGAGACTTGTACTTGACGTGTAGCTGCGTGCATTTGTACGCATCGCTGGTACAGCCCTCCCGGCATGAAGCCCACGTGCAGTTGTCTAGCCCCAGTCTGTCGTCGCGTCTCTCGGTCACGCACTCGGCTGGCACCGGATCGAAGTCGGCTGCGAGCGCGCTCAACGCCGGATCGGCGTATAGTGGCACTAGAAAGAGCAAGGCAGAACCGCCTCCGCCTAACATTGCTGCCAGCATCACTGTTATGTAGCGTGTTAGCTTCGCGCGAGTGTCCCCTCGTCGTCGCGAAGGTCGCACGACCAGCCTTTCTGAACTTCCGCCCCTCATTTTGGTTGTGTCGCGTCAACCCATGCTTAGCAGACTGCCGATGCCGCTTTATACAGTAGCTTGGTCTCTGTACGCCTGCGCGGCATTCAGTCCTGCGCGCTGCGTTTGCCGATTGACTCGGCCGATAAAGTAGGTGATTGTCCTCTCGAAGGCGGGGGGAGTTCTGTTTACGCCTGCATTCATTATTGAGCATGCTGATTGACCTACTTTAGTTGACTTTGACATACCTAGTTAGTACCTTAGTAGGTAACAAAGTAAAGATTTATAACAGAAACATTAGGTAGGTACCCAAAAATATCCTGAACTCGAATTGGATATCAAATCCAATTTTTGAAATTTCCGAGTTTTAGGGGCATTGAGGCCCTCCTCACCTGGGGGTAAGGGTCACCTAAAAAGTGAAAAAAAACCTACTTTTTTCTATTTTTTTGTTACAAGTTAAGATATGTTACGTGTCGGGACGGGGTTCGAAATTATATGCCAGTTTACGCTTGACAGTTCTTTATTCATCTCACAGTTCCCGCAGTGCTTTTTGTTGTACTCACTGTACACATATACAGTCTCTTTGCGTATAAATAAAACTGTTTTTATGTAATGAGTGATGTGTGTGAAAACCTAAGAAACAAATACTTTACGTATACTTTATTCGCCTTTGTATTCGTTCCGAAATCGCTGCTGAGACAACTGTTATACTTGCAAAAGTGTTTCTGTTTGTTACCTCATTACGCTTAAACAGTGGAATCGATTTAGATGACATTTAGTATAGAGATAGCATGCGTTTCAGGAAAGAACCTAGAACAGTTATTATCCTAGAAATCACCTTTTGAGTTAGCGTAACTGCAGCCCTGGATTTAGAGATGTAGAGGCCCTGGGGCAACGAAGGACTGAAGATTTTCAAATAAGAAGCTAACACACTACATAACAGTGATGCTGGCAGCATTGTTAGGCGGAGGCGGTTCTGCCTTGCTCTTTCTTGTGCCACTATACGCCGATCCAGCACTGAGTGCGCTCGCAGTCGACTTCGATCCGTTGCCAGCCGCGTGCGTGACTGAAAGACGAGACGATAGACTGGGGCAAGGGTGGATCCAGACCCTGGGCTGGGTCCATCTGTACCCACTTCACAATCTGTACTTCATAATCTGTACCTACTGTGACTTGACCACGACTATATGACCCCCCCCCCCCCCCCTCTAGCGCCAAAGCTGGATCCGCCCTTGGACTGGGGCTAGACAACTGCACATGGACCTCATGCTGGGACGTATTTGAAAATCTGTCATCCCGGGCTAATTAAAACAAAAAGGGAAGATACGGTCACTACATACATAAGCAACTCTCAAGTGCACACTTCTGTAAATAAATATTCAATCGAGCGAGCGAGACAGAACTATACGCTTCAATGCAGCGCGTGCGAAACGGCGAGACCGCGTCGCTAGGCTTGGCGATTGCGTTTTCTTTTCTCTCTCTCTACAAATGGCTGAGCTGTATTGTTGTCCTTTTCTTGATAACAAATGGTGAAAAAGTAAATAACATTCACGGCAAACCGTGGTTTTTTGAGAAACAAAATGTTCTCATGGTTTTACGAATGAAAAGTATTGATGTGAAAATTGTTATTTGATCTTGAAGTATTACTCACGGACTGCAGGCATGCTAGGGAAGCCGTTCCCAAGGTAAATCTGCAGCTAACACGTAAGTTAATCAGACTTCCTAGACAAGCCTTAAAACAAATCGTGGGTATAATCACGGGTTACGGCTATTTCAACAAACACCTTTGTAATATAGGTATTTCTGACAGCCCTCTGTGCAGAGCCTGCCTGGAGGACGAGGAGACGAGCGCCCATGTGCTGCTGGAGTGCAGGGGCGTTGCAAGACAAAGGACTTCTCTAATGGGAAGCCCGAAGACTATAGTAAGGGCCTGCAGTAACGTTCGGGGACTGCTGAGCTTTCTGGAGGAGCTGGGATGGCAGGACTGATGTCAATCCCCACGCAAAATAGGCACTAGATGTCGAGTTGCGGAAACAGCCCGCCGTTCTACTAAGACTTAGACTAAGATACTGATTGTATCCAGAACATGCAAATTACTAGCCTGAGGCAATTCCACCGCCGCGGGGAGCATTTTATATGGAAACTTAAGAATAGCAACCAAGAAGAGTTTATAAACTGTAGCTACCTGTAGTGAGCCTCGGTCATAGATATACTATGGCTATAGTTTGGATGTAATGGAAGAAGGGGAAGGCGGGTAGCAGGGTCCGTTATATATAGGGTTACCAACTTTTTTCTATCAAATATACTATTTGTTTCTTAGGTTTTCACGCACATCACTCATTAAATAAAGCTAGTTTTAACGGATTAATGCACGAAACTTTATTTATTTATTGACGTTTCGCAGCCTTTTCAGGTCTGCATCGTCAGAATAATATATATTCTGACGATGCAGAATAATATATATATATTCTTCTAAAACGTCTACTGCGCCGGTTTATTTGTCTGTAGCTCAAGCAGTTTGCCGCTACCTATACGTGATAAGATTTTGTTCAAGATAGTTAATTAGGTCCTGTATTCACCACGACAATGCTAGTGTGTGCAAGTACAAAGATATATTTTTAACCCTCAGGCTTGAAATTTTGGTTTCGGTATACTGTAATTATTTCACACGATCTTCTGGGCTAGAAATCATTCAATATAGAAATCCTATTAATCAGATTTTAAAAATCATATTATGATTACATTGTCATCAATCGATTCAAAGTGCCTACTGACATGCCTGCCGCAGGGACAATCTAGGGTGCACGGCGGTCGGTTCAATATCGGCTTGTCTCTACGTCTACACACATGCCTGCTATTCAGTGTTCGGGCGTATGTTGAGCTAAACACACGCTTTGATGATGGTCCCAGTGTTATCAAAAAATATGTTACAGGGCAGCAGCAGGGCGGTTGGGACAATCTAGGGAGCAAGGGTGGTCGCGCGCTCCTGCCGCCCTGCCGCAGGCCCAATTTAGAAAATTGCCCCAACTTGCTACACACATCACAATTCAGGAGGCAATTAAGGGTCATCCCCACTCTTACACCCTAGATTGTCCCTGCGGCAGGCATGTCAGTAGGCCCTTTCACAAAAGGCTATTCAGACTGGGCATCCCTATTTTTAAACAAAATCAAAAGGCTGAAAGCGCCTACTGACATGCCTGCCGCAGGGACAATCTAGGGTGTAAAAGTGGAAATCAAAGAGTACTTATATATGTGGAAATTCACAGTAGGGGTGTCCGCTCTGAAAAAACATCGATGCATTTTTTTATTTGATACATCGCTACTATACATCGATATCTTTCGATGTATCGGATGAAAACATCGATGTATTTAAACATCGAGTACTTTTTCTAAAATTTTATTACAAAACTCAACTTATGTGGAAAGAGCCCATCTTTTAATAGTATTTTTTTTCTATTAAAGTTTATGAAAATACCTTAATCCATAATTTTATTATAGTTTAGATATTAATCTTTCATCAAATAATAGGATTAACTCCTGTCATAATGAGTAGGTAAAAGTTAATACAAGTAAAAGCCATGTATCAGAAAAATCTGTATTATATTTTACAAAAGATCAAATTAAAAAAAAAACAAACCAGCAAAATTTTTGCTATGTCTCTCAAAAGAATATTAGAAATAGACTTTTTTACTGAGGTCAAACCAAAGAGGATATTATCACTACGTGGTCAAACTCTTTTACCAATTCGATGTTTTTTAAAACATTGACGCATCGAGTATATTGAACGCTTTTCAAAATTCGATGATTTTCATTGCAAACATCGATGTTTTCGATGCATCGATGTAAAACGAATATCCCTAACAGTGTTGTCAACTTAGTGGATTTTCCACTAAAACTGGTGGATTTGACTCCCCTTTTAGTGGAGAGATATTGCATTTAGTGGCTGGTGGTTTTGCTTAGTGGTTTTCATAGTATTCAGTTTCATTTAGTGGGAAGAAGATCATTGTACTATGAAGCCACACAATAAATTTCTATTTCATTTTAAGAGTATTTACTATGTAGGCAACACTGGCAAAAATGTACGTCGAATTATCAGCGTACTTGAACTTACAGGAGAATCGAATTGTCGTCCTTGTTTCGCTCGCGGAATGAATTATCCTTGTCTCACTCGATCTAATCCGCTGCACTTTTTACGGGGATTCCCTTCATTCAGTTAGTTCGATCAGTCTCAGTCTCAGCGCATCGTATCGTCACGAAACCACAATATTCTCAAAAATTTCGGGATTCTTGGCTCAATGACCCACATTTAAAAGATTGTCTGGAAGTTATTGAAAGTACTACGGGTCAAGTAGCAAAATGCAAGTTTTGTGGTACAATTTTAAGGAGATCTGAAGTCCAATGGGCTGTCTAAAAAGCATCAACAAAACCAAAAGGTAAAGGATTGTTTATTTATGTAGTAAATAAACTTACCTCATATTCTCTACATAGAAGAAATATGCCTATTTTTCAACCGTCTTCAAAAAGGAGGAGGTTCTCAATTCGACTGCTTTTAGGTTTCCGTAGCCAAATGGCAAAAAACTGAACCCTTATAGATTCGTTATATCTGTCTGTCCGTCCGTATATCATAGCCACTTTTTTCCGAAACTATAAGGACTATACTGTTGAAACTTGGTAAGTAGATGTATTCTGTTAACCGCATTTAACATAGAAAAAAAAAACAATAAAATTTTGGGGGTCCCCATACTTAGAACTAAACTCAATTTTTTTTTCATCAAACCCATACGTGTGGGGTTTCTATGGATAGGTCTTCAAAAATGATATTGAGGTTTCTAATATCGTTTTTTATTAACTGAATAGTTTGCGCGAGAGACACTTCCAAAGTGGTAAAATGTGGGTCCCCCCCTCACCCTCCCTGAACTTCCAAAATAAGAGAATAATAAAACTAAAAAAAAAATATGATGTACATGACCATGCAAACTTCCACCGAATATAGGTTTGAATGAGATCTAGTAAGTAGTTTTTTTTTAATATGACAAATCGTAAACCGCATCTGTAGTTTTATATTATGTTACTTGCTGCTACGGAACCTTTCATGGGCGACCCCGACTCGCACTTGGCCGCTTTTTTGTTTGTTTGTTACGCGATTTCTCCGTCAATTTAAAGTCGGTTCTCGAAATTCTTTTTGTAATCGCAAGGCTATAGGTACTTCCGAGGTGTTCCCATATAATTTTTATCGAAATTGATTGTGAGCTTTTTGAGAAAATCAACAAAAACAAAAGTATATTACAGATAACACCTACAGTTTAATATAAGGCAATGTTGTGCTACAAATTGATTGCGTCCTTTTATCCGAAATTATTCAAAAGGGCCGATTTGCAAAATTATTTTTGTTATCGCAAGGGTAGGTATACTCCCGAGGTGGTCCCATAGAAAAAATATCATGATCTGATCAAGTACTTCGGAGATGTGGAACGGAACTCTTCGTATATTCGCTGGGTGCGAAGTACTAGGTGGGGGTAACATAATCTATCGCAGCGCTCATGGTGTTCAAAAGTAGAAATAATGTAGGCTCTGTCATTAGATGTATCTGTCAATGGCAAAGCGATTCTACATAATATATTTTAATATCATTAATTAATTAACTACTCGTGCTGTATTCACCTACAATCAAATTAATATTTGAATAATACGTCTATCAAAACTCGATCAAACTAAGTATTAAGTTCCAACGGAAATAATTACTCAAGTTTAAAACCGTTTTGTAAGGTGGCAAAGTAATAGATGTTTGCCTTATGATGAGAGCGTGAATTATTGATCTCTGCCCTTGTTTTGTTCTTAATTCTTCTACATTTCGGACATGTCCAGCCAATACCAACAATTTTCCTTTAAATACGGTTTGTGGTTGGAATTTGATATTGTGAGTAACACTCACAAACCCGGTCTTCAAGATAATACTCATTTTGATCTGAAAGCGATATTTAATTTATTACTAGCGATACAGGAACATTTCAATATATTTACTGTTATATAATGAAACCATTAAAATAGCTTTTTCTTTTTGTTTTACTGTAAAACTACAACTATAAATGAAGTAAACAAACCCTGACACAATCAAAATTAAACACACTTTTTGGACTTACCTCGTTTGATTTGATCGACCAAAAATGATTTCAAAACCTTCTTTCCATCCAAATCGTGGTATCATAACAATTTATTAGTCGAAAATATTTGTTATTTTTTCATTTCGATATTTTTTCACAAATATACGACCTAAATGTTAATGTGACAGAGCCTACAAAGTTGTGGACGCTAGTTGGCGCTGTAATCGTGCACAGAGCGAATAGCATTGTTTCCTTTTGTACAACCATAAATTTTGTTTAGTGGAAAATTTAGCGATTTTGATAGAAGGGTCGGTTTTTGTTAGTGGATTTCTGGTGGTTCTAGAAGTTGAATCTAGTGGGAAGCTGATTTAATGGTTGGCAACACTGATCCCTAATTCACAGCCGTAGCCCGTAAACCGTAATACTTGAAAAAAAAAAGAAACAAAATGGTCACGGTTTTGAGTTCCGTGTTTTTTGTTGTGATAACGTTTTAATTTAAGAGAACAAACGGAAGCAGTGTTAGAAACAATTGCATTAAATTTTGTAATTTAGGTATGTCTGTCAATTTATTCAAAGTCTTTGTCAATACGTTAAGGAAAACATTGCCGCAACATCTGTACAAATCAGGTACTTTCTAAAAGCTTTCCCACTTTGTTGACACATGGTGTTATTTTTTCATATAAAGCGATTGAATAATTAAATTTGAAAGTATTTCAGTAGCTTTGAAGATGTACCACATTCAATTCGGGAAAGTAAAGTCGAGTCCTTGCGAAAAGAACACTATAACCTCAAAATTAATTAGGAATAATACAGAGGTTAGCACCCGTGGTTAGCACATATAAAATTGCGGGTGTCTTGTGTTCACTGTTTATTGTTATTGTCAGTGTTGGATATGATTAGTATGAATACTGTAAGCCAATGCTATAAACTATTAAGTCAGCTTAACTTGATATTCCTATTGATGATCATATTAGAAAAGTTGGAACTTACCGTGAATTGTTTTTTTAAGGTATACAGAGGCGTTTTGTTACTGCCATGGACATAGTAAATGTTGAAAATAAACCCACTGAGGATTTGGTACCAAATAAAAACCTTACAAGGTTCAAAAAACGACATATGAAGCGACAGTGGGAAGAATTAAGTCCTAATAAAAAAGAAAATGGAGAATCGGATGAGAAGAGACTATGCGACAAACCTGTTGAAAGAATTAAACGGAAAAAAATGGCACTACTGTTAGGTTACTGCGGTGTCGACTACTTTGGTATGCAAAGGTGAGGGTAAAAATTTAATTAAAAATATTTAAAGGAGACTCCGGCAGCCGAAATTGTTTTAGGGTGATCTTATGGAGCTTCCTTGAGCCCCCTACATATTCAGTTTCCTCAGATTCAGGTGACTCGATTCGAAGTCCAACCCAAGGTGAGTTTAGTAACATGTTTTCAGTACCCTTGGCACAAACCAATAACAAAATCAAATACTTGAATTTGATCTCGATTCACTTCAGATATCAAGAAGTTATGTATGGAAATTTGAACAGTGCCACAATGGACGTAGGGAGAATTAAAAATCTTCCATACGAAACTTCTTGAGATTTAAAGCATACCGAGATTGAAATCAACTCTGCGATTTTAATATTGGTTTGTGGTAACGGTACAGTTTTGACGTTTTAGGTACTGTTGATGGGCATGTTGGTCCTTTGTTATGATGGGGTTTTTATGGGTACTTAATTCCATTATATGTAATTGAATTTCGGGGTAACTTGTAGGGGAGGGGGAGGGGGGGCTCCCCCCGACCCCCCCGCCATTAATGATTTTTGGCGGAAATGCAGTTTTTCTTTTTACCTAACCTAAAAATTCATAAAATCTGTTATATGTTGTGGAATTTCAGGGGGATAGGTATTAGGGAAGGCCCCTCAGAGGGAAGGGTAACCCCCCACCCCCCCGGCGTTTTTTTACAGAAATGATAATTATAAAAAATTAGAGGAGTTTTAAAGGTAAATCTGTACTTCCAGCGCCTAGAGGTGATATTTGATTTTTCTGTAGAAAAAGTCTTAACAAATTTTTCTTTCTGGCGCTTCGCCGGCCGCTGCCGCGGCACGCTCGCTTCGCTCGCTCGGCTCGCGTGTTAAGGTCACAACACTAACCTAACCTAGTGTGAAGTATCACCACTTGGGCCTTAGATATACAGTTTAGCCGTTTAAATAAAAGAAGTTTAAACACAAACACTGACTGACAGATCTCATTAATGGCAGTAAATTGTCACATTTTGACAATAGTACCAACATAATAAACTTATATTTACCATAGACAACGAGAAACATGTTATTTTTGCATAAAAAAATGGCAGCACTGATCATGAAAATTGCGAAAAAAAAAATGTTGTCAAAATTGACTCATAACCTACAAAAATATTAATTTTCAATAATTTTTTTCTCGAGTTCTATTCGTTTCCGCCAAAAAAGATTTCGTGTACGTATTTTTAATTGTTAATACTTTGCGTGACAAAAATTTCAGCTTGCAACTCAATTACATATAATGGAAAGGTGAGCCTTTTTATGAACATCAGGTGTTATAGAAATGAAAGAGGTTCATACATTTTCAAGACTGCCATCTTTGGATGTTGATTTACTATACCTAGTAAGACTATTATTTAATGTTGGCTAGTACAGGATTGTAGCGTAAAATTTTAGTGAAGAAATTCCCATTACATGCATTGTTGCAGAAATCCCGGTGTTAGGACAATAGAAGAGGACCTTTTCAAAGCAATGTTGGATGCCAAGTATATTACGGAAGAAGATTATAACAATCAGCAGAATACACAGTTCCAAAGGAGTTCCAGGACAGACAAAGGGGTGTCGGCGGCTCGACAGGTTGTGTCATTGAAACTACGTTAGTATTGTTACATCATGCTATGCTTATTGCAACAAAGAACTGCAGATACAGTTGCTTAGCTATGGGTAATTACTTGACATTACTGAAGTTCAGTGGATCTTTGTCGTCAGCCGAATCTTGGTTAGATTTCCCGAATGTCAGCCAATGTTTGGTAGCATAAATTAATATAAATAAATAAAAGTGAAAAGAAAGGTTTTTTAAAATGTAAAGTTGATAAAATGATGATTTTTAATCATATTACATGGATGTTCATTTGTGGTTTTTTTATTGCCCCAGACAAGAAAAACATCAAGTATCAAAAATATGCTTTAAAAAAAAATCTATTGTAATAACAATGTAAATAAAAACTTCCAACTTAAATAAAAAGTTTTGTTTTAAATTCTTTTTTCCAATGCTAAGTTCTTATTTGCTGAAATAATCTATTACAGATATGGTGACACCAGTTGCAGTGATACTGAATTTGTTTACTGATTTCAGCTCTCGAAGCAAACATAGAAGAAATTAATAAAAGATTACCGGAATCTATCAGAATATTTGGAATGAAGAGGGTTACAAACAAATTTAATTCTAAAGTGAAATGTGACGCAAGGACATACAGCTTTACTCTTCCTACATATGTATTTGAGTCTAGTCTGGTTACTGAAGAGGAGAGGAAAAAATATAGGATAACACCAGAAAAGTTGGAAGAAGTAAACAAAATACTATCCACTTACAAAGGAACAAAGAGTTACCATAATTTTACAGAAAAAAAGTGAGTTGTTTTGTAAAACAAAAATTTTCTTTAAGTTACAATACAAACATAATGGCTAGTCTATAGGAGGTTCCGAGTCAAGCATTGCATCACTGTGTCAGTATACAATATGTATAAACACTTTTGCAAAAACAAACTGGGCACTTTAGATTTATTGAATAGATGCTGGACCATTAATTGAAATATGTAGTTAAAAAAACTGTCATTTCATGTTTCTTTAAATCTGTGCACTGTTTTTCAATAACAGTCTAGCATGGATCAGAAAGTTATGGAATTTCCATTGTTTCAGACATTATCAAGACCCGTCCGCATCTAGATATATGTTAGGATTTAGTGTTGAAAAAGTTTTTGTTGAATCTGATATGGAGTTTGCAGTATTGTTAGTAAAGGTGAGCTGTTTGTGTTTTTTCTCCTTTTTCTGTCAATAGTTTGTATGTTCACAATGCCATCAATTTCATAATTAAGTACCTTTAACAAATATTTGACATTGATAGTTTTATTGCAAGAAATTAAATCTTAATTATGATATAATAACTGAGAAAGTGATACAACCAAACTTCAATCAAATGCTATAAAACAAAAATCATAATCATTTGTATCGTAATTCGTTATTGTATTGGGCTATTATGATGTATTCATTGTTCGTATTGGCATCACAATAGCCGTATCATTCCATCCCTACAAAAAAGGCTATTTGCTGCTCTATTGTTATTCTGTATTCTTTGTTCCCTATGTAATAGTTTCTAAATTAAATTAAAAAAAAAAAATTACAAACTCATTACGTCCTCATTTTTATGCTGAAGTATCCATTGATGATGCTGATACGAAGTTTAGTTAATTTCATTTGAGCAAAACGTGATTACTATGTTGAATACTATATTATACTAAAGATGGAGATTAATAATAAAAATATTCCTTTTGGTTAGGGTCAAAGCTTCATGTTGCATCAGATACGTAAAATGGTTGGTCTCACTATTGCCTTGGTGCGGGGTCACGCCGATCCCAGCATATTGGAAAAAGCTTTCGGCAAAGACAAGGTCATGATTCCCACTGCACCGGGCTTAGGACTGGTTCTCGACATGGTATGTTTATAATTATTTTTATGCTTATACTTCACTTAGGTCCCGTTTTAATTGATAGTCCAAAGGAGACCCTTTTGTACCTAGATTCAAATTACCTCAAAATTATCTTAAATTATACTTATCTCAATAAATTCAATAAAAATTGCTGAAAATGTGACTAAAATAGGATATCTGCATATAAAGAAACGTTAATTACTTAGACGCAATTTGGCATTGACTGACAGATGAAAGCTTAAACTTATTAATTTATTAAAGATGCACATTTACTGTAATATATTGTCTGTGTTGCCATTAATTTAGATGTTTAAACGTCATTTTTATGTGGTACAAGTGGATAATAAACTGCATTTATAGCTTTGAATTCGGCGTATTTTTCTGCACATAAAATTATGATAACTCATAGGTACAAAATGGGGTAGTGTTTTATGGAGAAAAAAATGGATCCTTTGACTATAGTTAAAATCTATAGAAAAAAAATAACCATTTGTCAAATTTCGACACTAAGTATCAAATTCCGACACTTACTAAGTATTTCGACACTTACTTTTTTTTTTTTTTTTTTTTTATAGATAGGTCCGACAAATGACTCCACCCCACCTGATGTTAAGTGAAGGTGAAGTCCAGACGTGACGATAGCTGATACAGCAGTTTTACCTGCCACACCAGCCATCCTCACCCTGCCGGCCTGCATGTTGCTTCTTCACGCCTCTTTTAAAGGATCCCAGGTTGTAAGAGGGAGGGAACACGTGAGCGGGCAGAGCATTCCATTTACGGATAGTGCGACAAAGAAATGAGTCACCAAATTTCTTTGTACGCGTTGGAATTGTGGCCACAGTTAGACGATGACAACGTAGGCCAGCGCGCGTGGTCCTCTGAAGGAAAGGAGAAGGTGGGATAAGAGAGAATAACTCCTCAGAACACTCGCCGTGGTACAGACGATAGAACGCGCTTAGTGACGCCACGTCACGGCGTAATTGAAGAGGCTCAAGGTGTTTAGTCACCTCCTCATCGCCTATGATGCGGATCGCGCGTCGCTGTAACCTATCCAAAGCATCGAGCAAGTACTTGGCGGAGCCATCCCAGAGGTGCGAGCAATATTCCACGCAGGACCGCACTTGCGTTTTGTACAACAAGCACAGTTGATCGGGCGTGAAAAAACGCCGCACCTTGTTCAGGACTCCGAGTTTGCGTGAAGCTGTTTTGATCACGGTTTCGATGTAGTTCTTTGGATTCTGGTCTGAGCGAACTTCCATACCGAGCATGGAAATGTTGCTCTGCAGCGGTAGTATTGTGCCCTGAAGAGATGGAAGAGGAAGGAATGACGATGTTTTTGCCGTGAAAGCGCAAGCCTGAGTTTTTTTGGCATTGAACTCAACCAAGTTCCTGGTACCCCATTCGGAAATGTGGTCCAAAGCCTGATTGAGTTCAATGACAAGATTCTCGCGTTTCTCCTTGGTTACCGCCAGCCCAGCCGCTGCTTGTCCGAGATACCCCGCATGCACTGTACTATCGTCTGCATAGCAATGAATATTCCCAAGAGGAATTAAGTCATTGATATGCAGCAGAAAGAGAGTGGGGGATAGGACGGAGCCCTGGGGAACGCCGGCATTCACTGACATGAACCGCGAACTGCTACCATCCGTAAGGACACGAATTCTACGCTCATGCAGGAAGTCAGCTACCCAAGAACAGAACTGGGCTGGCAGACCGTATGCCGGAAGCTTGGAGAGAAGGCTTTTGTGCCAGACCCTGTCAAACGCCTTGGCAATGTCAAGGCTGATAGCCAACGACTCGCCACGCTTGTCGATAGCCTCACCCCAGATATGAGTTAAGTACGCTAGAAGATCACCCGTCGATCGTTTCGGTCTAAAACCATATTGACGATCATTAATCAAGGAGTGATCCTCTAGGTAGCGGGTCAGATGGTTATTAAGGACCTTTTCTAAAACTTTACATAAAACTGAGGTGACTGCTATTGGCCGGTAGTTTGCCGGGTCTGAGCGATCCCCTTTTTTGGGCACCGGTTGCACATTGGCATCTCTCCAAGTCTCCGGCACACGCCCCAAAGAATACGAGCATTCTTACAAGCGCGTGAGCACGGGAGACAACTCCGCTGCACATTTTTTGAGTACTACTGCTGGGATGCCATCAGGTCCACTAGCTTTCCGGACGTCGAGTGATTGCAATTCGGCACGAACCTCGCGCTGCCTGATTTTAATATCAGGCATATACTAATTATTTTATGTTGCATTAACAACAGTCAAATTTTACTATCGATGAAACGACGCGACCTTATTTGCTGAATGTCCTTCTGACTACTTTCTATTTGGTTATTACGCCACGAACATTATATCGAAATAGATACCGCAAGTGTTTACTTTGCGTGTCAAAAATTAATCTGTAATTTCGATGGCGCAGCTCGATAGAGTGTTCGGCCTGCGATCGTAGAAGTTAAGCAACTTTCGCATTGGTCGGTCATTGGATGAGTGGCCAAAAACTTATTATTCCTTCATGCTGGCTGCGGCACGTCATGACCCAATCTCCCTATTCCTTCCATAGGGAAGGCCTGTGCTGTGCCCTAGAAGTGGAGACATTAACAGGCTGATGATAATGTTGACGAATATTTCAACTATTTGCTATTTGTTAATTTGCTGAGTTGTCCTAAATTTTCTATTTTGTGATTACGCTATGTTGATAAACAAATTCTGTAGTTGGGTATTGAATATAAACGATACTTTTAGGTACATTACACGAGATACGACGCACGTTATAAAAGCAGTCACGACAGCCTCACATGGGAGACAGAAGAAGATGCAGTGCAGAAGTTTAAACACGAACACATCTACCCCAACATTGTGAAAGGTGAAATAGAACAAAACTCAATAGGCACTTGGTTGGTGAAGTTAAATCAACATTCGTACGAACCTTCAGATGACACCGCTGTTGACAAAACCATAGATGATGATGAGAAATCTCTTAATGTTGACGATAACGATGATGATGATGAACCGGACGACGATGAAAAAGATTCTTCGACAAATACAAGTAAAAAGATTGAGACTGAAAATATTCAAGAAGAGTCGAATGATCCATTACTTAAAGGGGAAATTGAAGAGAAATCTAATGAGGCAGTAATTGAGAAAAGCAAGGAGGTTGTATAGATTTATTTCATTCCAGTTTCCTAATAAGGTGCAAATCAATATTAAATTGTGAGACAATGTCATTAATAAGCGAATGTAAACCATTATACCTAGATACCATACATAACATCTCAAATTCTTAACTGTGTAGATATCGTTGTAGCTATAAAAAGGTATTTATTATAAATACTACACTACACTTAAGTAAAAGAAGCTTAGCTTGGTGCTGAATGAGACTGGAATTTTGTCCATAATAGCTGGGTATTATTTTCTAATTTTTCCTCAAAATGCAGATCACGGTTTAGAATATAATAGCAATTTATGAGCAAATTGACAGCTTAATGGCTGAGCAATGATATTATCTGATGCAATGTCATACAAATGCCTCAGAAATTGATATAGGTGTAAAAAATCCTATGACAAAGATAAAAATACAAATTATACCCACATATAATATTACAAAATATTATATGTGGGTATAATTTGTATTTTTAAGTTACTAAAAATACTATTTTATTTTCTATTACGCCATTCAAAGCGCGCTGCGCTACTGTGGAGCTACGCAAAGAATGTGCCTGTGTGTAAGTGCGTCGATAAAAAAGTTTCTAAATAACGTTTTGAAAAGATTAATGTAAAAATATTGAAAAAAGAAATGTGACTTTGACCTTCAATATCTCCATAACCATAAATTTCCCTGGTATAGTCCAGAAGAAAAAAATGATTGTCATGATGTGGAAAATATGTGGCCTTTGACTTCGTTTAAGGTTTTTTTACACCCTGTATAATGGAAAAAAATGGCTATATGCATATAGCCGTATTAATGTATTGTTTACATTAAATTCTCGAGAGTAATGTTATACAAATTTAATTTGTTGTATTTATTTAATTGTTTGATTGGTGATATGACATTGGAAGATAATTGCACTCAATTAAAACACTAGAGTAATTTTAATAATGTTAGTTTTCATATATATAATGATAAACATTTGCGAGATGAATAAATTAAATTACACAATAATTTTTGGAAACTTTGTGTTATCGAATTTGGGTAAAAATCACCTAACATATTTTGACCGCTCTGAACTGAGCCATTTACTTGTGCAATTGGCAATTTCTAAAAAATCTAATGCACAGTAGAAGAACAGACTTCACAGTGGCCCCGTTATTATTATATTTCAATTGTATAATATCTAAATTTATTCAATAACAATAATAATATGTAGTAGGTATTGATTTCTATGATGAAGATTATTCACAAAATGTCACTTCGTATTAGCAATTAATGTCTATATAGTTGTAAGTGGACTTTTGACAGAAAAGTTAATGCCGAGACGGCATCATATTATATAAAATGAAAAAAATAAACTTGGCTGAGCCATTTAATGCTGATTTATTATTCAATAAACATTTTGTTTCGCATTTTTTGTCAGTGATTAGTGTGATAACCAAAGCAATCTTGTGTTAGTATTGTATAATACTTTACGTGGCTATTCTTGTTTGCTCTTTGTAAAATTCTTATTGTTTATAGATTGTATCAATGTCTGTTGAAATATCTATGGCAATAGTCTCGATACTATGGATAAAATCGTAAGTATGAGATCTATCAATAGATCAGTTTTTATTTGCTATCGTTCAAAGGCATCTGTATCGATAGTTCCAACTGTTGCTACAGTACTACAAAAAAATATTCATAATTTTTATTTAAGATACATTCATTTAAAGAAAACTTTACTAGAATAAAAGATCCACGCGGACCAGGCAGCAGACGGGACTTGAACCCGCACCCTTCGCTATCCGGGTGAATGCACTGACCATTATGCTACCGCGGCCCTGACGGCCGTGTCGGATTTTTCTCTAGCCTTAGGCTGCAAGGCAGCGCCATCTCTTCGCATTGTAGGTAACCCACAATGTCAAATGAATACTTTTACAAGTATTAAACATTTGAAAGAAGAAATAGCAATTATAGTTGTTTTTTTAAGCATTTAACTAGATAAGAAAGAAAGAAAGAAAAAAAATCCACGCGGACCAGGCAGCAGACGGGAGTCGAGTGCGCGTGGATTTTTTTTCTTTTCTAGTAAACTTTTCTTTACATTAAAACATCTAGCAGTCAAATGCTTATAAAAGTAACATAACTATATTCATTTAGTTTATTCACGCTATAACTGTTTCAAATAAAAAAAAAGACAAAGAAATCGAAAATAATCGAACAACAATGATAAAAAAAATATATACCGATGAATTAAGAACCTAATCTGTCTGCAGTGTATGTAATAATGTGTTGCACAATAACACCATCAAAAATGACGGCGTAATAGGCTTAAAATAAAAATATATATATATATTCTTGGCAATCTTATTTATTCGTTGTAAAGTCGTCTTGAAATTTTATCAAATAGGAGTTTCTTAGTCTTCGTTGTTTTTTGCTTATGTACAATGTCTGCTTCAAACATATAAGATTAATAAATGTCCTCGTCGTTTTTGGGATGGTCTGACATCAACAGTGGCTCTTTTAATGAAAAAATTGGTGTGGTTTCATAATACCATGATGCAAGTGAAACTTTTAAAAACATTAAAAATAAAAACGGCCTTCTTCAGCTGGGTTTCGAACCCGGGCTGCCCGCGTATTAGGCGAGCTTTCTACAGTTGAACCACCGATGCTTGTTGGTAAAGTCTGAACTTTTTAATAACTGAAAAAATTTTTAGAAAAGTAATAAAAGTTGCTGTTTAAAAATAATCCGTTACTTCAATAATCGTTTGTTTAGTCGCTTTATTTTTTGTCTTCTTTATCTTTTTAAAGTTTTCGGGTTTCATTCCCACAGCTGCTTAGAGATTTTTTAATTTGGGCAAATTTTCTTTGCAATAAGGTCGACATCTCTGGGTCAATATGGTTTTAAAATTATTTATTTTCTCTCGCTACAACTGTTTCAAATAAAAAAAAAGAATCAAAGAAATCAAAATCAGTCAAAATTTTTTGGAGGTATGTGCGAACAACATTATGAAAAAATAAATATATTGGTATATTTTTGGTAGGAATTAGAACCTAACCTATTTGTAGTTGGTTAAAAACGTGTTGCACAATAGTACCATCAAAAATGACGATGTAATAGGCTAATATAAAATATATTCTTGGCAATCTTATTTATTCGTTGTAAAGTCGTCTTGAAATTTTATTAAATAGGAGTTTCTTAGTCTTCGTCGTTTTTTTGCTTTTGTACAATGTCTGCTTCAAACATATAAGATTTATAAATGTCCTCTTCGTTTTTGGGATGGTCAGACATCAACAGTGACTTTTTTAATGAAAAATTGGTGTGGTTTCATAATACCATGATGCAAGTGAAACTTAAAAAATCATTAAAAATAAAAAAAATCTTCTTCAGCTGGGTTTCGAATCCGGGCTGCCCGCGTATGAGGCGAGCTTTCCACCATTGAATCACTGATGCTTGTTGATAAAGTCTGAACTTTTTAATAACAAACAAAAATAAAAAAAATATACAAAAATAACGAAAAATTTTTTAGGAAAGTAATAAAAGTTGCTGTTTAAAAATAATCCCTGATTTCAATACTCGTTTGTTTAGTCGGTTATTTTTTTGTCTTCTTTATCTTTTTAAAGTTTTCGGGTTTCATTCCCACAGCTGCTTAGAGATTTTTTAATTTGGGCAAATTTTCTTTGCAATAAGGTCGACATCTCTGGATCAATATGGTTTTTAAACGTTCAGTGGAAATCTTGTCGGAATCAATGATTTTTTGTAGTAGTAACATTTGTCTAACCTTACGTATGAGGGTATTATTAATTTTTTTATTATAATGAACACTGTTTTTTTTTCTTTTTGAAATTGTAGCCCTGAACGAGGAATAAAAAAAAACATTAAATTGGAACAATGATCGACAGCAAAACAATCATCAACGAACACTATAAAATATTGAATATAATTGATATCTTCTTGGTTCTAGAATATTGAATATAATTGATATCTTCTTGGTTCTAGTTGTCTGTGTCCTTTGTGTTTGTACTAGTAGTCCGCTCAATTTTGACATTCGAGGCTACCTGAATCCCCACCAAGCTGAAAATCAGTAAGATTGTTTAAAATATAATTAAAAATAAAATTTGAAAGTTCCCCATCTTTCCACTGTATGAAAAAAAAAATTCAAGGTCAGAGGTCAAAAAATGTGTTATTCCCGATTATCAGCAAAACGGTAAGTTTTATCACAAAAAAACCTCAGACAAAAATTGTAGATCATAAAATTATCTACAACTATTGTATCAATACTTTTTATCCAACGAGCCACCGTTTTTGAGATATAACGATTCAAAAAGTTTTAAACGTCATAATATGCACACGTTTCTACGCCACCTATGAGGAAGTGTACTTAGTGCGTTTTTTAACGTGGTTTCCCTAAGTTAAATTTTAAACTATTGCAAAATATGAATATTAGCAGAAATTGGAAAGATAAAAGCAATTTAATATAAAAATGTAGTGAAATTTAATCGTTGGAGTCGTAACTTTCAAATTCTTCTTGTTCTTTATCTTGATCTTCTTCTTCATCTTCATCTTCATCCTGAGTGCATGTAAACTGCGTTAATAGCGATGTATCGCATTTCGCCTCGTTGGAATCAAACGGATCATCCACTGCTGGTGATTCAATATTAGAGCACGACCGGCCTTGACAATGTGTACATGCCAGAGAATAAAACAGTCCGACTTTTTTGCAACCACATTTTTATCTGTGCAGATGGAAGTAAATTTTGAACTGGTTCTAATGAAATGTTGACCAACTTCCAACCCCAGTCTGTAGGTTCTGGCTGATAACCAAGCCACACTTGAACTTGGTAATATACCCGAAAAAGATATTGATGAGCAGCAACTGAGGTTTGAGGAAGACGAGCTAATTGTACGTTTTTTACCTTTGGTAATTTTAACGAAACATGCATATCTATACTTATCTTAGCAGGTATTTTTTTTAGGAGCTCCGTACATAGAAAGAAGAAAGCGAATGTCGTTAGTGATAATTTCTTGTCGAGT